GACTTAGAGGTATTTTGACTTTATCATTACCGGTATTAGGACTTTGTACATTGTACCTTTTACATATAATCAATGGAAACGACATTGTCGCAGAGCATTTAATATTGGCAGCGAAACCCTTCCATACTCTAACTCAGTCTCATCCAAAGTCTTTGAAATTGAAAACACGAATTATTTGTCAATTTAAATCAACATTGATATTGTGATCTTACCGGGAAAAGATGGACATCTGATGTCCAATATTTAAGACAAAATAAACATTTTACACGAATCGTGTACCATAATACGTTTCAGCACCATTTTGTAATAAAGGACTCGAAGAACGAGACTGGACATATTCCAGAAGTCATGTCAAACGGTGACGGAATATTCTTTTCTGGAGAGCATGCGCAATAAATACTATCGGTGTAGACTGGAATAACCTGATGCTTGAGATTGCCATTCGATTGAGACTTTAAGCGTATTTCGCCGAACACAACTGATTAGAAATTACAGCAATACAGAAACGATTGAATGTAAATCAGTTTATATACATTCATATTACATTATTATATGCGTTGCGACCCATTTGTGTCAAATATTAGCACCCCCGTCAGATCGGGTTGGCGTCCTTACTGCGCTACTGCGACCGTATGGCGACTAGAAAATGCAGAAGGTCGCCAGCAAACGTGAACACAACGCAAGAAAATGTCCCAAAAATTACAAACTTGAAAAACGTTTCGTTCTCACAGCTGTCCAGGTCAGATCGCAGAATCTTTGCGTTTGTTTTGAACATGCTCAAAACAAACGCCGTGACTTGGCGACCATGGAGACCACAGCACGATATTTGGCGTTTCCACCACGCTTATGGCGATCTTGACGCGCTCTGAGACCATTTTCCGTCGCCGTAGCAGCGCAATAAGGACGCCACCCACGTCCGACGGGGGTATTAGCGTCTTTAAGCCTCGCCTTGAAGATTCGCCGAACTTCTATATAACCAATAGGAGGGATGCCTTTGTTTTGCACCCCCTTTCCTCTCTTTTATATACGATGCAACTGACTGATCGGAACAGTCTTACGTGGTATGCCAAACTTGTTTTCTTTTTGTCCCCCGCCTTTCGAAGAAAGCAGGGGACTATTAAAATGGGTTCGTCCGTCTGTCTGTCCGTCTGTCTGTCCCGTCTGTCTGTCCGTCACACTTTTTGGGACACAATAACTCTCTTCCTAATTGAGCTAGAATGTTCAAACTTGGTGTATGTGTTTATTAGGTCAATGCCTTGATGGAGTTCGAAGATGAGCATTTTCCGCTTAGGGTAAGCAGAGATAAGCAATTTGATTGGTTGATGCTTTGGGACACGATAACTCTCTTCCTAATTGGGCTAGAATGTTCAAACTTGGTGTATGTGTTGATTAGGTCAATGCCTTGATGGAGTTTGAAGATGAGCATTTTCCGCTTAGGGTAAGCAGAGATAAGCAATTTGATTGGTTGATGCTTTGGGACACGATAACTTTTAATTGAGCTAGAATGTTCAAACTTGGTGTATGTGTTTATTAGGTCAATGCCTTGATGGAGTTCGAAGATGAGCATTTTCCGCTTAGGGTAAGCAGAGATAAGCAATTTGATTGGTTGATACTTTGGGGCACGATAACTCTCTTCCTAATTGAGCTAGAATGTTCAAACTTGGTGTATGTGTTGATTAGGTCAATGCCTTGATGGAGTTCGAAGATGAGCATTTTCCGCTTAGGGTAAGCAGAGATAAGCAATTTGATTGGTTGATGCTTTGGGACACGATAACTTTAGTTCTAATTAACTGAGATTGATGAAACTTGGTGTATACCTTGACTAAGTTTGATAATGAGCATTTTCTGCTCAGGGTAAGCAGAGCGATACGCAATTTGATTGGTCGAGACTTTGGAAAACAATAACTCTCCTACTTTGATTGTCCCCCGCCTTTCGAAGAAAGCAGGGAACTATTAAAATGGGTTCGTCCGTCTGTCTGTTTGTCTGTCTGTCCGTTCCGCTTATGGTCAGCAGAGATAAACAATTTGATTGGTTGATCTTCGAATTGAGTAAATGTTCATGCTTATTGTCCCCCGCCTTTCGAAGAAAGCAGGGAACTATTAAAATGGGTTCGTCCGTCTGTCTGTTTGTCTGTCCGTTCCGCTTAGGGTAAGCAGAGATAAACAATTTGATTGGTTGATGCTTTGGGACACTATAACTTTAGTTCTAATTAAGTAGATAAACAATTTGATTGGTTGATGCTTTGGGACACTATAACTTTAGTTCTAATTAAGTGAGAGTGATGAAACTTGGTGTATAGTTTCATTACAGTAATACCTTGACTAAGATCGATAATGAGCATTGTATGCTTAGACTATAAGTAAAGATATACTGTTTGATTGTTCAATACTTTGTAAAAGATAATTTGTGATAAATTTATATGTGTCCTCTAATTATTTTCCTATTTCGGCGGGGGACATCAGCCTCACTGTTGGCTTGTTTCATCACATGTCGAAATGTAACCTATATATCCTTCAAAACGAATCACCGAAAATCTGATTATAAATTGATTTGTCTTGATTTGATGTCACGATTTTATTCAAACATATCGGACATTACTCTAATATATCGATTCCTTGGCATTGAGTATAGATGACTTTGTAGCGGGTCGGCGTATAAGGGGATCTAATAATGCCCCGTTGATGTCACGATTTTATTCAAACATATTGGATATTCCTGGCATTATGTATAGATGACTTTGTAGCGGGTCCGCGAATAAGGGGGTATAATAATCTCCCGTTAATGTTGTTATTTTTATTATCATTTTAGGGCAAATATGAAATTAATATATTGGTGACAGATCAAACCAAAGAAGCTATACTGTGTGGCCAAACAATCTTTGTTTTATGAAGATTGTTTTGATATTTTAATACTAGTTTCAGTTTAATTAAAAATGATATCAATGGCCCCGACCAGCCCCTGATATGATCTTTTGTTGTAAATTCCTGAATTATTCTCTACCAAATTCGCTTTCCACAGTTGAATCGTATAGTCTACTGGAGGTAAAATGTTCCCACAACCGTTAGCCATATAAAGCGCCCATGTCACAGACTGTCATTTAGGGATATCATCACATTTTCAAGGAATACAGTACTTTCCCAGTAAGATCGCAGCTCTCTATTTTTCATCGATACCAAAATTGTCATACTTGTATTGGAAGTAACTACCCGATAAATACTTTCGTGGGAAGGTATCTTTAATTTAATTTTTCAAGTGGCCAGCGAGGATAGTTTTATATGAATTATAATATCATGTAACATTTATTTATCTTTAAAAGCATTTTAACTTTTAATATCATATTTCTTCTGTAATTTCTGACCCATTCGCTGTTGATCTTACACTCTGATTATAGCAGTATACTACTCCATATTTGTGTTGTCTATTAATTAATTGGTTTGATCTTCCATGTAAGCGTGATTTTCATCATTGGCACCACTTAAAAAGATAGCTTTCTAAAATGTAGATCACCTCAGTAAGAGAGGGAGGACCAGATACGGCAATTAGTCATGAGTTTTACCTTTAGAAAAGCTGTTAGACCATATCTTCCTCTAAATGGTTAAGCTACGTGCTTAGGTGTAGCGACGGGTGGTGTGTACGAAATACAGACTTAACTTAACCGGATGAATACTTACAAATTCTCGTTCGTATTACCCAGTTACACTCCTCGATGCCTAGCACGTAAATAATTACCACCGTTATATACGAGATTGCTCAGTGATGTGTTTTAATGCTTTAGTCCTAGACGAATTGTCTCCCTTGTTTTTATTTACATGAATAAAGGTTTACCAAAAAATGTTACATGTCACCAAAATAATTGTTTTTAAATATATTTAATCGGTGGGGTCGAGTAATTCGTAACCCCTATACAAAATAATGTATGTCATCTATGCAAGTATCCTAGTTTAGCTCCCACGCTTGAACGGGAAAAGTCGTAGGTTCCACAATTAAATATATTGCGCGCCAGTCCGGAAGTGAAGTAATTTGTGTGGAAATAGAAATGAAGCAGGTAATGAGAGATAATTACAGCTAAGATCTACCACAGCTTTCACTAACAATATCGTACCCTTTTGACAATTCAAAACCTGTGATACTATACAGATTACCAGTTCACTGCCAAATATGGCAACCCTGCCACGATTTCAAAAATGTTAACTCAATCTATGAAATTGGTCATTCGCACACCCCAGCTCTCTGCCGTTTCTTAGAATTGGCCAGCCTTCTCAGGAAAGTACTACGCATCTATTGCTTTAGGCAGTTTTTTTTTTTAAAAAAAATTATAGATTAGTCCCCATCCCCCTCTAGTAGGCAGCCCTCCTCAGATATGACGTAGCTTCTCATAAGCTAGACTGTAGTTTACAGATTATATTTGGTCTCTAAGGGTCATTATGAAGGTTTCTTGTAGTATGTCCCAAATTATGTTCCAAAGTCTTGGCCAATCAAATTGCTTATCGCTCTGCTTAACCTAAGCAGAAATTGCCCATTATCGACCTTAGTCAAGGTATTGATGTAATGAAACTATACACCAAACACCAAGTTTCACCACTCTCACTTAATTAAAACTAAAGTCATCGTATCCCAAAGTATCAACCAACTCCATCAAGGCATTGACCTAATAAACACCTATACCAAGTTTTAACATTCTAGCTCAATTAGGAGAGTTATTGTGTCCCAAAAAGTGTGACAGACAGACAGCCGGACGGAAGGCGGGGGACATATTAATATTGAGAGCAAATTTACTTTCCCCGATGCCATCCCTAGTATCAGTAATATTGGCAGCCAATCGAATTTTACTGCTGATTAGTTTGCTGTCCGAGCTAGAGCTGTAATCCGATACGGGGGTTTAAACACACTATATTATATTACTTTGTTGACTGTGTTGTGTGTCATCGATAAGGTATTTTTCACGTGACCATTTTAAGATAAAATACCTGTAACACCACTATCATATCAAAGGGTGTTCTTTCATTTTATAAGTTTTAATTTGTAACAATGAATCGTTTTATAAAGTTTGTGATTTTGATTCAGATGGGAATAAACATCGTCAACTCTTACACTGGTATAGGTGAGTCCTGTGTGTATGTGCATAGTCAACTATTTTTTTTTTATCTAATTGTATAATTGTGTACTTTATGGGAGTGGAAGATACAGAACAAAAATGGTGATTGTTTCAGTAATATAATAGATAACCTACATATTGCAAAATAATGTCCCATCTTTAGATTTCATCTAATAATAATAATTATAATAAAAAGATCTATTTCCACGAGCAATATAATAACAAGTCACAAAGCATTTGCGTAATCCACAAAAATACACCGTAAGGTTACTCTACAATCCAGCTTTAAAATTACCTATATTTTGATCCAAACCCTTGGTATTTGTTTGGACTTAGATACTACTTTCCGTGCCCTGAATTCATAAATACAAAGGAATAAAAGACAAAATGTATATATAATCTGCGTATTTTTCACCATAGGTATGCACATTATGTATAGATGCATGTAAAAAGGTTTTAGGTTTTCTTTTGTAATTCTTTTTTATTAAGACTACTTTTATTTTTCTTACTGCGTATAATACAATCAAATGTTATTTATATTCATCTTATTAACTACGGATTGCGTGGATATTTGTTACCACCCCCCTCCCCGCTGCGCGCGCGCTTTTGTAAACAAAATGTCCATCCCAAACTTAGGCTGCCTGTCTACAGCTAGCCCCGCCTGAGAACAGGCCCGAAGCTAATTACCCGGCATTTTAATTCCTACATCGACGATTTCAGTCGAAAACACTGAGTATGCTTTTAGTAATTTTTAGAAGTATTTATTTCTCTTCTATTGTCATATTGAATGAAATTAAATATGTTTATTTAGCCGCTGTGTGTATGAAAGATGTCAAACTAATCAAAGCCAAATCACAAACTAGTCCTCTAATTATTCAATATGGCGGCGCCCATAAAAGGTAATTTCACAGAGGTGGTTTTGTTTGCGAAGACAAAATTAGGAGTATCTAACCTTGTTTTGAAAGATAAACAGATTGAAACTCTAAAGACAGTTTACAATGGCAAAGAATTATGGAAGACCAAATGGGACAATATTCATGATTATTGTTTCTACGTTCCAGTTTGAACATTAAGACACGAACGCAACATTCTAAACTAATGATTCTTGTTTCTACATTCTTATGTCAACATTTCATGTACAAAATCAACATTTTAAACAAAAAATTGACTTTATGTTTCATTTTCGGCGTTTTATCAATAACTTTTATATATCATTAAATATTAAAATTGAAAAATAATTTCTTAATTTTACACGACAAAGAAATCAATTCATTGGTTTCTGAAAGTATCTAAAAAAAATCTGGAATTTGAACTCTTAAGAAAATATTTTCTACGTTTCAAAAAGTCTTGAAGTTAAAATCTTGAAATAAAAATGTCCAGAAAAATATAATGAATTATCAACATTATTACACCAGAGGGCGTTAGCGTATGTGTACAAACAAGGGGTTGAATGTCAATTTCATTTGGCTTTATTCTATAGTGTGTGACAGGCAACTATTGTGTGAAGTCCAGAAAAAATTCAATTGAAACGAAATTATAATCTAATAATGCTTATTTCCCTTTATTAATTTATTTTATTTCAGAATACATGAACACAAACTGTGGAGAAACCGTTTATGTATTTGATTCTAAAATCATCAAACTGCAGCCATATATGATCGACTACATGGATGACGATTGTGAAGTTACCGTAAAAGTTCTTGGTTCATCGGAAATCCAGTTATCTTTTGTAGATTTTTACGTTCCGTGTGATGAGGGATCAGTGGTAATCGGCGGATACAGTTATGGTCACGGTAAGCATATCTGTTTAAATAAACAGAGAACAGATGTAAAAGTAAAAAAACTAGAAAAGGTAGTATGTGCTTACATTAAAATTTTTAATTTTGTGATAATATAATGAAATTAAACAAAGAGTCTAAAGATTAACTTTGATATAAGGTATATTAGCTATATAGCTAAGACAAACATGTAAGAAAATGGTATATTTGAAATTTCATGTTAAAACACTCAGACAGTAGGAAGCGATTCCCCAAAATTGCGCCAGAAACGGCCCTTTGCTGATGCCCCTCATCTTAAAAATAGTCAGAAATGATCATTTGAAATGGCTTAACTCCGAAACGGACTTCTCAGGTGTCCAATCTTTATCCAGATAAATACGGAATGGCGTGCAGAGATGCGTTGATTACCGCACACTTCTAAAATTATACAGAGTGTGGGAGACCATATTAATTGAGTTATATAACAAGCGTCCGTAGTAATTGACTGAAAAGATAACTGACCAATTTAATTGACTGGAATCCATCTGTAACAGTACAGCTTATGGAGCCACCACGGTGGCTCAGGCTCAGTGAATTGGCAGAAAACGTTACTCGGGATTTTCCAGTCTTGTTTCCCCTTGCCAGCGGTGCAGGACGAAGGGCATGAGAAGGAAGGGTTTATAGTCGTTAGTATAGGACGAAAAACTGAGGTCCATAAAGGAGATTCATTGATGTGTCGATGACGTTTACTTAAAGATACATTATGGGAGATTAGATAAAGAGCTGGCATTTCTCACTATAATAGTTAAAAACTAGATAATGTAAAGGGAATTTGCTGAAATTTTAGTCAAATTGATCCACTCTGAACCGAGATTTTAGCGATTGAATTTTCGGCCTAGTCTCGATCATCATTACTAAAGTCGGTACGATAAAAACATAATCTCGATTATCCATTTCCTGTTTAAATCATGAATTGAAGTCGAACAGCAAATCGGAACCTAATCCAATAAACATCACAGGCTAGCGATGACATCGAGAGTTGATTATGGTCTGGATAAGTTAATTAATGTCCAATTAATAATTTACATAACATTTCAGGCCTAAAGAAAGACTTGCAATAGGCAGATTTAGCTCTTGCATAATGTATGTTTAACGGCCCATTACGACTGAAAAAGTATAAGACGGGACCGCCGCTGTCCCTGCGCAAATGTACCTTATAGCATCGCTATTTGTCGTTCACGTAAAATAACCAGTGACACCTGGACTTCGACGAAAAGTAGGCTGAAACGCCGCAGTCCATGGAGAATTGCCCTCATAGCATTGCCTGATGTATGGCCAACGGCAATGACCCGACTGGAGAAGAATAGTTAATTCATAGTTTATTTGATTTTCACAATTGGGTTGCAATTCCCTGTTATAGTTTATATATCCATACCCAATATCTTTGATTCTTCAATTTCAGTGGAGACAGAAACGTGTAGTCGGACAAAACCTACACAGACTTACAAATCTTTTGGCGATTCTTTGACCATCAAATTTAAGAAAGAAGATGACGTTAGCGCCCCAACGGCTCATTTTCAGATTCTGGCGACTGAGATGCACACTGGTAAGATAACGTTGCTATTTGTTTTATTAAAGACTGTACTACCAAGGTATTTTCCTATTTGTTTTATCGTAGACTATACTGCCCAGGCGAGTTTCATATTTGTTTTATTGTAGACTATAATGTCACGATAACTCTTATTAAAGTGGCGTTATGGAAGATTAGATAAAGCGTAACAGCTCTCACTATAACAGTTAAAAAGTTAAAAAAAAATTAGACAAATTAAAGCGGATATGCTGAAGATTTCAGTTAAATTACTTCACTCTAAGCCGAGAAAGTCTCATTTTAATATCACTGCAGCCTTGATTGTCATTGTTACCGTTGTTACGATATTAAATAAAGTCTCGATTATACATTTTTACTGTTAATCATCAACGGCCGTTAAACCGCAGATCGGATTCAAATTTGTGGAAATCGCATCTATCAGATAGCATCGAGTGTTGATTATGGGGGTCTTGTCATGTTAATAAATGTCTAATTAATAATGTAGTTAACATTTAAGGCCTAAATAAAGACCTGCAATAGGCATATTTAGCTTTTGTATAATGCATGTCTAATTAATACTTTATAGAACATTTAAGGCCTGCAATGGGCAGATTTGGCTCTTGCATAATGAATGTTTAAGATATAGATCATAATGCCCTGGAGGCTATTTTACTTTTTTTATTATTAAGAAATAGACTATAACTTGTTTTGGGTAACACTGATCTCAGGATATGTCTATATGGCTTTATTTTTCTATAGTTTTATACAAATAATGAATATAATCCTTATAAGACATATAGAAATAGATTTCACAAAATAAAACACTTGTATGGATTTACTATTTCTGAATTTTAATAACATGCTACGTTTCAATACACAAACAGGTGTCGTTATCAAGCAAATATTTCTGGAGTTTTACGCCCACTTCCACCAAGGATGATATCGTAGTCAAATCTGTTAACATTCGTTCGTTCCTGGAGTTTTACGTCCACTTCCAGGGTTCTGTTAACAAAAAATGTGGTGCAATATATAGGTAACAGTTGGAAGCCACTTAGCAGACAAAACAATCACTACAAGGAAATAACAAGATGAACGATATAATATATTGATAACAATTAGAAACCATTTAGCCGATTAGACAAGCCTCGTTGACTTTTATCCTTTCACAATGAGAATATGCTAAAAATTGTAATATTACCGGTATATATAATTTTAAGTAAGACAAGTAAATTAAAGGGTTCTTATTATTACTTAAATCTGAAAACCTTAAACTCCCAATTCTGCAATGTATCATGGACAGAGCAACATTATCTTACACATTGTAGTCCTGTATAGACAATGTTATAAAATGATACTAAAGTAAAACACTTTATTGTATCCCTGTGCCAGAATATCTACACTACGCACACTGCAAAACCATTGAACTTTCAATAAATCAATATATCGCAGTTTGTAAACTTTATTGACAGTATTTTTTAAACATTAAAATACTGCAATAATCTAACGTCCACTCGACACAAACAAGATCATTTCGGGAATAACATATGGTTCAATTTTATTTCAATAATTCGCTTGCGCGTAGGGATCTATAGCAGTGGGAGGAAACCGGAGGACTCGGAGAAAACCTACAACCGGGGAATCGAAACCACGTCGGTTGCCTCAATGACAGACTTTATGATACAGCGCACAGGCGCTAACCATTCGTCCCCCCTCTCCCCTCCCCCTTCACCCCAAAGAAGGAATATTATATTTTATCTAAACGTAAGCTTGACCATATAAGCTGTATGGTATTGCAATAATAGCAATATATTGTGGGTTTTTTTTATCTTTTTTTAAATTTATTTTGGAATGTCTTTGATTAATTTTCCGTAAATGGGAATTAATTGTGGATTTAATATAATGCTACGTAAGAAATATTATAAATTGGCTGTTTATATTGTATATCTGCAGGATTGTGTGCCAGTTATGAGTTTGAGTGTAATAATTATAATTGCATAGACAAATACAATCTAGCATGTGATGGTTACGACAACTGCGGGGACAACTCGGATGAAGTTAAAGGTTGTATTTTAGAACCCGGCGCTATAGCTGGGATAGTTATAGGATCATTGGCGTTCCTGTTTTTGGTTTTCATCATATCAGTCGCCATATGTAGAAAGAAGCGATACGGATCTGTTTTATATGTAAGTTGTACTTCACTCAAAAAAATCCTTCGCGGCACCCATCACGCCGATTTTTCGTCACAGACTTTTTGCCGGCCGTTGTATGTTTTAAAGTTGAAAAATTAATGTATGTACTTTTTTTCATCCAAAACGACAACACACAAGATAAGGAAATTTTTAATTATTTCTGTTGATTGTGTTACTTATCCATGTCATATTCAAAAGCGTGTACGGGAATTTTGAATTTATCTTGGGGGGAGATCTCATGGAGCACCCATCAAAGGCTTAAACTAGCCATGGAATTAAGGCTGTACAATACTAGGTAAAATGTATCTAAGGATGCATTATGTAAGATTTAGATAAAGAGCTGACAGTTTTCGTTATAATAGTTAAAAAATAGGTAATGAAAAGGACATATATTTTGATAATTTCAGCCTAAGTACTCCATTCTGAAGGAGTTATCGCCGTATAAAAAACAGCGTAGTCTAGATTGTCATTACTGCCGTTTTTACGATAATAAACAAAGTCTTGATTATCCTTTTGTAATTATAGTATTGACCACCGTACGTTGAAAGTCAAAACCATTCGATATGCTAGAGAGTTGTTATGGACTTGGCATGTCAATAAATTACGTATTAATGATTTATAACATTTGGGGGCCAACGAAAGATCTGCAGATTTAGCTCTTACATAATGCTCCTTTAATGAGCTTTGCTTTGTTATTAATAAAATATTCTTTATTTCAATTGCAGACTAACGGGCCAACAGCAGCTGTCCATGTCAACACGAATCAGGGGATCGCTCAGCCTTACTTCATACAGCCGCCTACATCATATCCCCTCTCCCCTCCTCAGTACACCCAACAACCCCCACAATATTCACAGGAAACCCCACAATACAGCACACAACCAACAGCATCGTCGACAACACAGTGCCCGCCACCAGCTTATGAATTTTCTAGATTCCCCACAAAAAGCTAAAGAGTCATATCAGCATACGACCGACGTTGCTGGAAAATTATCGTGTTTGTAAGGAAATATATTTAGTTGCTTATAATTACACCAGAAAAATGAACTTGTAAATCTAATAACTTGCAAATTAATGCCAACATATGATGCAATTAAACATTAGGAGATTACAGCCATCTGTATTGTTTTAAGATGGCAAAAATATTGGTATTCAAATATTGGATACTTTAAGATAATTGACATCATTTGATCACTTTTTATTTGTATATACTAATTAGCAACCATATTACATTAAATTAGAAATTAACAAAATATTGTGAAAATGAGTTATTAAACACCAGCCAGCAGTCTTGTGTTGTTATACGCCCTCACAATGCACACGTATATTGCGAAATCTTTACATGACCGGACCATAGAAAATATATATTACGCTGATCTACCCATTTACATTCCACCCAATACACCCTCGTAGACGAAATAGGCCATGGGAAATATTGACACTTGCCTGAATAGTTAGTCCGTTGGTGCGTACTGGAGAACACTACCGAAATTCGTTTGGATATCATATCCCAAACACAGACAAATAAGGTTGGGATTTTATTAGTTCTCGATGCGCGGACGACTTATTCTGTTGGTTACTATATAAGGGGTTACACATTTTATTTTTATTTTTATAAACATTGTACGGTCTACAATCACAAATATATAAGGTACAACATGTGTAACAGTATTGGTTTTTTATGATGACAACACTGGTTGTTCTTCAAACATATCAAGTACAAAACTCTGTAATTAGCTTATGTCGAGGGAGCCATGGTCCTAGCTTGGCTTGGCACCCTCGGGTGCAAACTCCCAACTAACTTACATGGCCGCTCTTCGGTCTTAACTGGAGACCTGTCTGGCCCAAGTTAACTTTCTATAAGTTAGATCTCTGCTTATAATCCCTTTCTGGACAAAGGATGATCGAAGAGATTATGCAGCTTGCTATATTGCATCATACCAGATTAAACGTTCAGTACATATTGCGTTACAAGATAAAGAACATTACATAAACCGGGACAGCTATAAGTTTATATTATGGTAATGACTATAGTAATCAGTGTCATCTGGACAACCATGGGTGTCAATAGCCGACATAAGGATATTTTAATCAATTCCGCTTTCATGTTTCAACATTTTGTAACACATGCAAGAGGGTACACATATTATATACATACTATTTTAATGTAAAGACATGTAGTAAAATATAACAATGGTGAAGAATGTACTAGCTATCTCAGTGCGCAACCAATAAAATTATAATGTATACCTTTAAGGACTATACCTTGGGTTACATTCTAGTCCGGCAGCAGGTCAACAAACCTGGAAATATAGCCAACCTAATGTTTTTTGATGGATTATATATCTTCAGTATGTGTAGATTCAGAATCTGGATGATGCCACCCTGGGGAGAATTTAAATATTCAAGATGGCCGCCCTAATTCCCTTGTGCGTAGGGGTCTTTAGCAGTGGGAGGAAATCGGAGGACCTGGAGAAAACCCACGAGGTGGGACAGGCGACCCTACTCCTTGTCACGTACAACTGGGGATTTGAAACCACGCCAGTTGACTCAATGACAGGCTTTATGATACAACACGCACGTGCTAACCATTCGGCCACCCCCACCCCACTACTATTTGAAGTACTGGACAAAGTCTTGCTTGAAATGAAAATAAGAATTAGGGACAATTCTTGGTTATGCACATCCGTCCGTGCCCTTTCAAGGGATAATGAAAATGTTTTAAACCGTGAAACATTGATGCCACTACATAAGAATCTTAAAGTCCACATTCCGTCAGCTGCGGAACTTCAAGTCAATAAGTCCTTTTTGCAGGACAATGTACCAGTCCAAGAGCATCAGGATTCGAATCATGTCCTGAAGGAATAGTACCATCAAAAATGGCTTTTCCTAAAGTATATAAACTTATTAATACGGTAGCATCATTTGGTTCGAGTAGTGCTGTACGTGAGAGTGGATTCTCTGTCCTGGGTTGACTGGATAAACCCACTAGAAGATGTATTCTCCAACCGAGAAAGGCAAACCTGGTCCTCCTTGCATTTGAATCAGAAATCACTGAAAATATTGATCTGGACATTTTTGTGAATAGATCCACCCACGCCTTTTGATGGAATAAATAAGTGTATATGAATATAATCTGGCTAAAAATAGAAATAACTATAAATCTATATAACAATAAGTCTAGAATAAGTAAATCGACATGGGTATCTATTATGTTCATTATACTATGGATATGGATATAGAGAAATAAAAAATTATTAATAAATATACATCTATTATTAGAAAAGTTGAATGTACCTACAAGGCCTATTTTAATGGTCATGCAATGAGCAAGTGCGCCATCAGCAATCATGTGATTATCGATTACGTCATTTTGCTTTGTTTCGAAAAACTCGTGTTTTGCAATTTTTGCATGAAAAAGGTCTGAAAACAAAGTCAGTCGACGAACCATGCGACGCACTACCCCCGCCCAAAGCACGAAAATTGACAAGATTTCTTCGGTGTGAAAGGGAGAAAGACGTCAGGCGCGGGTAATAGTGAAGGTCCGTCTGCATCATCGTCCTCGATTGATGAGGCTGTCCAGTGTGCAGGAAATAGCGTTTCCGGCAGTCCAATTTTGAAAATATTTCTCGAAGCCGGGGGGGGGGGGGGTCTCTCACTATTTCGCCCTCCCCCCCCCCCCCCCCCCCGAACCCTGTATATACATTGTCCGTCAGTTTTACAATACCTTGAGAACACTTGCCGCCGCCGCCCCCTCGTTGCTTTGAGCTAGTTACGGCCCTGGGTCCGCGTAAACATTGACGAATTGCTGTCAGAAACGTTGGCTTTTACTTACAATGAACCAGGACACAGTTGTAAGATTAAATATACTAAACAATACGATTTCAAAATCAGAGAGGCAGTTCAATCAAATCATTCTAGAAAACGACTTACTAAATGGATCAAAGCAATTTTTGTGAACAGTATGTTGACACATTAGTGATTAATTCATCACAATCCCAAGACATTACGAGAAGGTTTAGAGTTTGTAGACAGTCTGTCTATACATCAGTATCTGATGTGTCCACCGTGAGTGTCAAACACAGCAGCGCAGCGTCTGTAGATGGAGCGGACCAGACGATTGATGAACGCCATTGGCATCTGGAACCAATCTCTTAGAAAAGCCTGGCACAATCCATCGGCTGTGTTTGGTCTCGGTACGACGTTATTAAGTCTCCTCTGAATTTCATTCCAAACATGTTCAGTTGGGTTTAAGACCGGACTAAGTGCTGGCCAGTGCATAACGTTGACATCGTTTTGCTATAGAAAGTTCCGAGTAACTCTGGCGAAATGGGTACGGGCGTTGTCATGCTGGAAAACGTTGTTTCGATAACGTGCGAAATGTGGTATGACGTGGGGTTTGAGAGCTTGATCGCTGTGATGCCGCCTCCTCTCCCTGGACCAAGATTTTGGAACACCACAGGACCCACTCTCTAGTTCAGGACGATTCCATCCCAAACCATTAGGCTTAGAACCCCCATGAGTCTCATTCCATGACACAATGGTCAGAATAACGCTGGCCACGTCGACGCCATATTCTGGTTCTGCGATCTGCAGTTAATACGCAATACCTACTCTCATCTGTGAACAGAACTGTTCTCCATTGCCTATGTCGCCAGTTCTGGTGTTGTTGGGCAAACTGTACACGTTCACGTCGATGGCGAGGGGTGAAGATCTGTCCACGGTAAGATCTACGGCAATGGATGTTCTCTCTGGTGAGGTGTCGGCGCACTGTATGGGTACTGATGGGTCTTTCATGTGTTCCAACTGTCTGACGTGCTGTCTCAGATGCCTGTGTGAAGGGATTCTGCACGTGCTGTCGCACAACATGGCGGCCTTGTTGTAACCCTTGGTCTACCAGTTCGGGGGCGATCATCCGTGGTCTTGGTGGCCCGACAGCGTTGCTGGGGCCTGTAGATGGTCCGAACATTGACCTGGAAGTGATTGGCAACGGCTTGGTCAGTGTGGCCAGCGTCCAGTGTTCCAAGCGCCTGGTTCCTCTGAGCTGTCGTGGGTCGTGGCATGCTGCTGACTTTGTATTGTCGGGATAAAATGCCGTGATGTCGGGTTGTCTTGGTTTCGGTTAAATTGTCGTGACGTCGCCTTATGAAGGGCGACTCCACGACATGATACCAATCAGCCACCATACCTGCCTTTTTTGATACCCATATTGTGCACCCGCGGACTAGTGAGCCCCTCTCCTACTATCACTAGATATGGGTTAACATTCGTTTCCATTCAGCGTTATATCGCAGATTTTGATATGACTATCATATGTTTCCAAAGTCTCGACTATACTATTACTATTATACTATTACAGAACTGAACAAAGAACACGGTTATACTTTATGATTGTCAATTAGTGATCGTGAAGCTAGGGAGTCTATTTTGGTGTTCAATTGTAAAAGCTATAAGAGGAGAGGACGCTGATATCATGTTGCATGATATGTGACTTATGTGAGACATATTGAGAGAGCAGGTCGAGTAAGCTCGGCCGTTTCCGTTTACTATATGATTCTATTGCACATAATCATATGGATAAATTTTACCCGTATGCACAAAATAATATTTTAATAATATGACTGTTTGAATGTTAAACCACACCTAGCCAAGAGAACATCAATGGTGGAACTGTAATCTCGAAAATGAACAAGGCTATTGGTTCTGTTGGTAAGTCACATCAAAATTAGTGTGTATACATAACAATCTTACGATGTATACATAATACTAAAGGACACTATAGCGTGATCTTATATTTTAGGTGCTTTAATAACGTTGGGCGATTTAATCCAGAAGGAAGGGTGGCTACGACTCCCAAGTAATACAACCCAGACTGCTAGAATCATCGGGGGGGGGGGGGGGCTTCCACAGAACATTTATGGTACAATATTTTAATTTAGGGTTATCTGTTTAGAGTATATATAACTCAATTGTATCAAATGGTGCACCAGTATACCACTAGTACATCAATGGGCTTGGCAGAGAGTTCTTTTGTGTCGTCATTAAAACAAGCATTAGATTTGCCAAAGTACTTTTTCTAAATTTACTGACCTTGCGTTAAACGTTTGTAATGGTCCCTGTTGTTTCTTGTATATCTATAAAATCATGAATACATTTTTACTGTACTTTACAATAGGTGGTAGATATTATCAACCCAAAGATGACCACAAAGAAACTGCCAACAACCACTGGGGCCTAAACAACCACTGTCATTGCTGTTCGGGTAAAACTACTAATAGTCTTATAACCGATTGTGATGACAGTAGTCTATGCAAGAAACGGGGTGACAACATATGCCAAACGACCATGGGGAATGACAATGTAGTTCGAAAGAAAGGGTGGTTTGGCAATCCCGGAAACCATTGCTGTTCAGCACAATTGATTCGACGTTTGCCGGCGAATCTTTTAAATGATGTCGACAGAGGTAACTTAACATTTTATTCTGTAAAACGAATACGCGCTTATTGACATTTATATGTTCCCTTGAATCAATAAAAGTATGTAATATCACGAAAGCATGATGCGGTATAGAAACAGAAGTGTCGGCTCCAACATCGCATATATTCTGGCAGTCGCGGAATCGTTGTCTGGCAACTTATTTATGCATCATTTATACATTTCAGTTTTTGGGCTTATGAAAATACAGGTAACACATTTATTTACTTTATTATTTTGTTGTTGTGCCCACTACGCAATCATCCAACTTTTAACCTATAGATCGTATGTAAAGCAGTGTAAACAATCTTTCAACTGATGTCCTCAAATTTGCCTATCTAGCTAGTAGTAGTTCAGTACGTAACTATTTGTAGGTAAATGACTAAAAATTAAAATCCACTTAAACTGGCGTTATGCAAAAGGTAAATCTGCCTATTCCAGGTCTTTCTTTGGGACTTAAATTAGCTATTAGACATTAATTACCTCACCAAGACCATAATCAACTCTCGATGCCTTAAGTAGATTTAATACATTTTGCGGTTACCGTAACAAAAATGGATTATCGAGACTTTGTTTATTATCGTAACATCGACAGTAATGACAATCGAGGCTAGACTATAATTGTATCGCCGATAGCTATACCCAGAATAAAGTAATTCGACTGAAATGGTCAACATATTCCCTTTTCATTATCTATTTATAACTACTAGCTCTTTATCTAATCTTACCTAATGCCGCTAGAGCTTTAACTGTGTTTCATACACTGTTTGTGTCTCCTTAGTTTTATGTTTCATTGTCTTGTAGAGTACGTTAGCATTGGGACTCTGTCACAGAACACGGACGGGGCGGGCACTGTAACCATTATCTGACACTAGACCATTAATTGACAGTTCAAATTGCCATTAAACTATATGTGATTCTGTATTTAAATGATGAGTGTAGGACATCTAGGTGCAGTACATTGTAACCGTGTTAACCCGCCCCTGATTCGAATATAACGTCAAGAAAAAGATAATTAACTATTCAAGGTTATAGATATGATAATCATCTATTAAAATAGATAAGAAATTTTATAAACAAAACAATTTTGATAAGCAATTTTTACGCAAACGGATTTTTATCAATACAGATTTGGCCCAACAATTGTAGGCTACATGACAAGGCCTTTGGACTCCTGCCTCCACATCAACGACATTGATTAAATGAAATTCGACTTTAGTCGAACGGTAACGTCTGATATTTATTTCGAGAGCGAATCTACTTTGTCGAACCCCCGGTAGGTCACGTATAGCGTAGCTCAACCGCGTAAGGCTGTAGCCTTTTCATAATGTGAAATTAACACCTCAAAACGCCAATTTGGCAAATTGAACCCACTAATCTATTATTAATATCACTATTAGTAACGCGTGTACTAATATGCTACTTGTTGCTGTGAATTTTGACCTTTTAGATATATGATAATGATAACAAGGTTAGTGTGAAGTTAATTGTGCCTATTTTATCTCCTACTAAATCAAGCGTTCCGCGAAGGTGAAATTGATAATAAGATGCGTATGACTCTGAAGCAAACAAAAACAACACACAGTAGATTACATCAGGTTATTGAAAGGGAATCTTCGAATCACCAACCATGTATCGTGCTGCAGTAGCCAATCTTGTGATAATTTTGAGTCTTGTGGGAGGTGTATCAACCAAGACCAAGAACGACCCAGGTCGAACCAACGTGCTTGTAATACTTGGCGATGATGCTGGACTTCAGATGTCAGCCTACGGTAACCATGCCATCAAATCGCCAAACTTTGACAAACTAGCTGCCAGGAGTGTTGTGTTTAAACATGGCTACACCTCCGTAAGTAGCTGTTCACCAAGTCGATCAGTTGTGTTATCAGGCCTACCGCAACACCAAAATGGAATGTATGGATTGCACCAGTTCCCTAACTCTTTTAGCTCTTTTGATAAAGTTAAAAGCTTGCCAGTAATGTTGCGAGACAAAAACATCAGGACAGGTATTATTGGGAAGAAACACGTGGGCCCAGATTATGTTTACGGGTTTGATTTTGAAGAAACGGAAGAAAACAACAATTTGAATCAGGTCGGTAGAAATATAACATGTATGAAAAACTTTGTGAAACAATTTCTTAGCAACAACGACACTAGGCCATTTTTCTTGTACATTGCATTTTTTGATCCTCATCGCGGCTGCGATGGCTTTTGCGAAAACTTCGGTGATGGGCGACCAGGCAACGGTGTTATACCAGATTGGACACCAACATATTATACCCCTGATGAAGTGAAGGTCCCTTACTTTATGCCCGACACGCCTGCTGCTAGACAAGACCTGGTAAACTTTTATAAAACTCTCAGCAGAATGGACCAGGGTATAGGCTTGTTCATGAACGAGTTGGAGAGTGCGGGTTTTGGAGACAATACATTGGTTCTGTATTCCGCTGATAATGGAATCCCTTTTCCTAATGCAAAAACAAATCTGTATGAATCGGGAATGATGGAGCCCTTCATGATCTCGTCACCCCTTCATAAAGAAAACTGGGGAAAACAGACGGAAGCTTTAGCAAGCACAATGGATATCACCCCGACTGTTCTTAACTGGTTCAATGTTAGTGTTCCTACCAACTATTTTAAACTAACTGGACGATCTTTACTTGGTGCGGTCGCGGATACTGATAGTCCTGATTATCCTTTCGTATTTTCAAGTCATAACTTTCATGAAGTGACAATGTATTATCCAATGCGAGTGATCAGAACGACCAAATATCGATTGATACACAATTTAAATTATCATGCACCTTATGCTATTGCTACAGATTTATTCGCGGCTCCCACGTTTCAAGATTTACTGAACAGGAGTATCGCAGGTCAAAGTTTAAACTGGTTTAAAACATTAGATCAGTATTATCACAGAACTGAATGGGAGTTATTCGATCTGCAAGCTGACCCGACAGAACTCAATAATCTTGCCGACAATCCTGATTATAGTCTTATTCTAAATCAACTTCAGACTCAGTTAATGAACTGGCAGACGGAGACTAGAGATCCATGGCATTGTCTACCAGCAGGTGACTCTTATATGGGTCGCTGTGTAGACTTGCGCAATGGAGAAAAGTTCAACAATACATCGCTGTAATAAAATACAATTACTAGAAATCATTTTATACGTTTGTATCAGTTGTAACAAATGGTACACTTGTATTGCGGTAATAAGCTTAAAAGGAGGGTCCTTTAGTAATGGGAAGAAACTGTTCCATATAGGATTGGCAATTTTTTTTATCAATGCCAGATGTACAGCACACACCCCAAACGACTTCACAACCGCCGATGGTAAAATGTCCCCTGATTATTAAATTCTTTTGAATTTCACCCCCACCCTACTTTCCATTCAGTACAAGTTGCTGAATTCTACAAGTTCATAATCGAAAGTAAATTGTACAATGCTGCTCAAGACATATTATACCAAGCCATTAACGATTGATATATGACGAAAATGGGAAGAAATAACTATAAAATGAAAACACGGAATTTCTAACGGGGTCGCCTACTGCTGTTACCCTGTGAGCAACACGGTTACACCCATTGATTGTGAATAATTTCTGAGTTACCCTTCATGACTCAGGAAACCAAAATATTATTTCTTTGTGTCTTTATTTTTCTGAGGATCGCCACTGCAGAAGCCCTAAACGTCTTGATGTCGACTGCGTTATGCAGCGGCACCATAAGGGCGTTCGCGCCCCCGTGTAGCCATGTCAGATCTATACCGACCCTTTAATGTCCCTCTCCCCCTCCCAAATATATGACTACTTTCAGTACAACTATCTTGCTTCCAAGGATTCTATTAGTAGACGGGATCCACGGTGGGTAAGGCGCTGGCTCGCTAGCCTGGAGGTCGGGTGTTCGATCCCTGCAATTGGCCGAGAAAGTTCATCCCGATTTTCCGACGTGGTTTCCCCTTGTCAGTGATATAGGACGGAGGGCCTGACAAGGACAGCTGTCTAGTCCTTTGGATGAGACTAAAAACCGAATACACGTAAAAGATCCCTTGGCAGTTGGAATTCGATAGTGCCGCTGCCCGGGCAAAATTTCCCTCATAGCACACTGTATGGCGTATGCCCGTCTTCATTAGCCCAGTATAGAAGTAGGACGTTAAACCCCATTTCATTCATAATAAAAAATCTTACAATTGATCTTCCTGAAACGCATAAAATTTAAAATTTCTGTGATTTTAGCTTAAGTTTTTGTGAAACAGGACCCTGAGCCCAAATGCTGGCAATCGTAATTACTTTACAAACCCTCACCATGGGACGAGGGTCCTTATGAGATTTGTGTTGTCGTTACATTTAATGCATTTTCGTAACTTTTGACTGTATAAACACTGCATGATCTTTATCATTCTCGTGAGGAATTGAGACTATTGATATCCGGGATCTTAGAAACAAAAGTTTACAGCTGTCAATGGACATATGTTTTGTTGCTTGACCCTGGGGGGGGGGGGTCTGATAGACCATGTTTCTTCCCCAATTCAGATAAAAATTTGAATAAAATAGTATTTACATAAAAAGAACATGTAGAAAAGCAGGACGTTAAACGGCACTATCATTTCATTGTTTGATTAGGTATTTGATAAATGCAGTTTTGACTGGTAATCTTTTTTTCGATTATATTCAGGTCAAATCTACGCCGACATATTTTCACTTTAAAATTTAAATAAAGAGTTCACGCCCATTTAGTTAACGAAGCAAATGAAATAATTTTACGGCTTCAAATAAATGGGGCCAAGATCAATGTTCGTTGGAAGATTTTTTGATGCAAAATAAGCCCTTGTGACCTCATCAACAGTGCTAGCCCGTCTATGCCACATGGGATTATATGTTAAAATGGGTTAATTAGCGTCATTTAAACATACATTACGCAAGAGCTAAAACTGCCTATTGCAGGTATTTCTTTTATCCATACAATAATCAGCTCTCGATGCCATCGCTGATATTTACCGGATTTGAATACATTTTGTGAAGGATGATTTAAGGCGAGACGCAGGTCGAAAATATAAAAAATCAATAAAATTTTCACTTTTGAGTTTTGTGTTTTATTTACCTTATCAACATGTCCTCTATCCAGTGCCATACGTATTTTAGCCCAAATAAAGTAATTTCAATGTAAAAACTGCCGTTTAGTAGGGGCGGGTGATGCCGAAAGAAAACATTTGGATACAAATTTATCCAAATTGTGCTGTTTTCTAGTCTAAATAACTCAACAACCGTTTCACGGTCGGCCATGTTTGAATACTTGCCGGAAAGCTGACAGAATGAATTGCATGATGGTAATAACCCCTTATTAATTCGTCCCGTAAATAATCGGCAATTGTCGGTTAAAACACGGTCTAAATGTTAGTTAGTTAGTTGTATTTTACGTCCGCTTCCACCGACCCCTATGATTTCATAGTGCGCATGCGCAATTACAGATTGTTTGTTCCGTATGCTAATTTTCAGCATTGATTATCCAGACGTAAAAAATGTATGTAGTAAAGCGTTGCTGTGATATTCTAGTCTGTCTTATGCTGTTGAGTATAAATAGACTGATTGAGGTCATCTCAATTAAGGGGGTTGGGATGTCTAGATTGTCACGCTTCGACCGCTAGCTGGCCGGTCACCTCTGGCTTGCGGTTGTGGTTTCGATCCCTGTTGTGAGCGTATGTGGCTTGATAACAGGGGTAGAAAGAAGAAAGATGACAGGTCTACTACTAGTACTAGTAGAAGTACTACTCGATCTGAATCTAATAATTCTATTTCTACAATTATTATTTCAGATAATAATTTACCTGAACCTAGTTCTAGTGCCTCAAGCAGGAAATTAGCATACTACCATTCTCCTGTAGATACAAGTACTAGACCTAGTAGCAGTAGAACGTCAGTGGCAGTAGTAGAGTCTGATAGTGTAACCGCTGCCAGTACTTTACATGCTACACAAGGGGAAGAGAATGAGCCAATCCCTATAGTTCCTCTACACCTAATGCCAAACTCAAACCTGGAGATAATGAGTATTGTATTGTTCAAATTGGTCAGCTGAAACACCTCCTACAAAATTGCAACATCAGGTGTCAGTCATGTTAATTGAAACACAAAGCCAACTCTATAGATGTCGATACAGGCAGATGTTTAGGTTACTCTGTTACTTCAACTTTATTGCACCAATTGCTCAAAAATTATATTTAAAGTTTGGAGTAGTCCACAGCTTCTTGATAGAGAGTCAAACCCCACAAGATCTCCACATGAGATAAATAGAAGAGCTGTGTTGGCTATGAGTGAGGTAGGTGTTGGAAACATTGGCCTGAATAAAATAACAGGTATTATGCATATCTATGGAGGCCTACATCCCAAAACTTATAATGCGGTAAATAAAGGCTCAATTCATCCTGCCATCGCACAAAATTCCTCTATATCAATTTTGAAGGAGGCACACTTCATTGTTCGCAGAGTATATTGTGAAATGGACCCTTCTCTTTCAGACAAGGCAATACTTGATATAGCTGTAAGCTATGATGGAAGTTGGCAAAGAAGAGGTCACACTTCAAATTATTGAGTGGGGTTTGTTATTGAAGCTCTAACCAGTTTAATTTTAGATTATGGCATCAGATCTAAATATTGTACCGAATGCGAGCTCATTGGAAACAAAATCGAAGATGAACACGAGAAACAAATATGGCTAGAATCACATGTTTATGAAAAAAATTTTGAAGGCCCCTCTGGAAATATGGAGGCAGACATTGTCCTAGAGCTGTGGAATCGCTCTGTAGAGGCTTGTGGTTTTCGCTATGTAGATATGATTGGCGATGGGGACTGTAAAACACTTGACTTGCTGAATGAGCAGAAGGTGTATGGGGATGATCTGCAAGTCAATAAAGAGGAATGTATAAACCACATTCATAAAAGAATGTAAAAGGGTTTAGCAACACCCCTGATAATCCCTCCAAATTTCATTAGATCATCTTTTTTTTTAAAAAAGTTATCGCCAAAACATGGTTTTCGACCACCCATCGAGTCTTTGTTTTTTTATCGTACCGACTTTAGTAATGATGATCTAGGCAAGCTAGGCCTAAAATTCAATTGCTAATATCTCGGTTCAGAGTGGATCAATTTGGGTGAAAATTTTAGCATATTCTCTTTACATTATTTAATTTGTAACTATTGTAGCGAGAAGTGTCAGCTCGTTATCTAATCTCCCATAATACCCCTTTAAATATGTTGTTGACTTTGGTCAATGTGTTATTTCGATTGGCGATGGAACTAGATCGTTTAATTGTGATTTCGATTTATGAGACAGAATTTCTGTTTGTTTATTAAATTAAATCGCGTTGTTTACTTAAAGATGCATTAAGTGAGATTAAGATAAAGGTCATGTCGTTGTGGCTATAATGCTCTCGTAGTTTAATACGGGTGGTCAGAAATGCATACATGTACTTTGAATATTTCAGTCAAATTACTTTATTCTAAATGAAGTTATGAATATTTGAAGCCTTGGCAGGAGTAGCGTAGTCTCGTTTGTCATTGCGTGGTCTAATCCAAGTAACATCAAACCCCCCTGATCATCTGATTATGGGTTTGTAATGTTAGTAAATGTCAAAATGATAATTTAAAGATATATTATGAAGTGTATACAAGTTCACCTTTATTTCGTCACCGTCTGTCCAACCTAAGGATCTATTTAAATGCTGATAGATACTTATACGCTTCGAACAGATCGACACCTCGGATTTAATTAAATCGGTCCTGATTTTATACCCAATTAAACATATCTTGATATTTTAACCCACTCCCGAAAATACATTATGGAAACCCTAATTTATGCTTGTACATTGTTTACACAATATATCCCTTACGTGGCTCTGATCCGGAGTAAAACTTCGAAATTATGGAAATTATCAGTTACATATGTCAAATTGCTCAAACAGAACCATTCCCTAATTAAAAGTGAAGGAGACCATTCAATTTAGCTACTCCAATCTGTTTAATTCTTGACCAGAGTTGGGGTTTAAAGTCCAATCGATACAGACTAGATCATTGCGGGACTAACATTAATAATATGGTACAATTTTATTTATATAATCCGCCTGCCCGTAGCTGTCTTTGGCATTGGAAAGAAACCGGATCGCACGGAGAAAACACACAAGGTTAGACAGGCGACTCCCCCGCCCCCAGTGTGTGATATGAAAGGATGGTTGCAGAGGTGCTTATATTCTTTCTCACACTAGAAGTTTCTCAGAATTAAAGATGTTTATAATGTACATATCTTGCCGTTATGCATTCTTTCTATTACCTCATTTTTTATTTACAATTTACAAATCCGATCAAAATATTTCCGGACACCGGACTGAGTTAGATGAGATAAGTAGAGTACGCATCCGTTAAAGCTTCAACATGACACACTTAATGTCAAATGTAGACACCCGGTGTCAGAAGTACTCTAACTTCTAACACGTGGTCGACTGGTAAGGTAAAGCGTTAACAGGATCTATCTCGGGGACGTATTGGCAGGTTTGTTAATTTTGTATATAATCTATTTTGGACAGAACCAATTAACATGGCGTAGCTAATTGATCACTCGCCTGTCCAACTTCTAGGGTTTTCTCCGGGTGCTCCGGTTTTCTCCCACTGCTAAAGATCCCTGCGCGCAAGCAAAATATTGAAATATAATTGAACTATGTGTTAGTCCCGAAATGACCTAGTTTGTGTCGAGTGGACGTTACTCTCTCTCTCTCTCTCTCGCTCTAATTGATCACATTAGAAATCCAAAGAACTTCAGGGCATCCCTGCGAATCCGCGTCAATAATAATAGTAAGTACACTATATAATTGGTAAATTATACAAACTATTCCAAATGCACTCTTATATTACCCAAATATTGTGTGTTTATTCCTTTGATAGAGGCTTTAATGGGTGTTTGTATTAATTACATTAACACTATTTAGTTTTGTAGTAATTGTTAAAACTTTAATAATAAAAAATGTGTTATTGTTTTGAGAGATACAACTGCAAAAAGATACAAATGATCTTTTACGTGCATACCAATTTGTACAAGGGACCTCGGTTTTTCGTCCCATCCGAACGACTAGACAGCTGTCCTTGTCAGGCCCTCCGTCCTGCATCACTGACACGGGGAAACCACGCCGGAAAATTTGGATGAACTTTCTCGGTCAATGCAGGGATCGAAATTGAAATGAAATGAAATGGGGTTTAACGTCCTACTGTTTTGCTCCTAAACTGGGCTAATGAAGACGGGCATACGCCATATAGTGTACTATGAGGGAAATTTTGCCCGGGCAGCGGCGCTACGGCCTACTCTTATATCGAATTACAACTGCCAAGGGATCTTTTACGTGCACGCCAATTTGTACAAGGGACCTCGGTTTTTCGTCCCATCCGAACGACTAGACAGCTGTCCTTGTCAGGCGCTCCGTTCTGCGTCACTGACAATGGGAAACCACGCCGGAAAATCGGGATGAACTTTCTCGGCCAATGCAGAGATCGAACACCCGACCTCCAGGCTAGCGAGCCAGCGTCTTACCCACTTAGCCACGTGACCCTCCACAGGGATCGAACACCCGACCTCCAGACATCAAATCTTGCGGCTTGCTATCCTCGTTATCCCTCATGAGATATTATCACTGTAATCAATAAAATTTCAACTATCTATAAAATAGTATTTACGGCCTGCTGTCCCCGTTATCCCTCATGTGATAATAGTGAGATTGCGCAACGATACGATGCAGTTGATGGTGTTCACAAAAACAAAAAAGGCGGCCAGAGCAAAAAAAAAAAAAAATATATAAATAAATAAAAAAAATAAAAAAAATAAATAAATTAGTGAATTTCTTTTCAGATTTAGTACACTTAATCGAATTTTTGTCAACAAAAACATGTTCACAAAATAGAAGAAACACTCTAAGATTCGAAATAACTCAGTTTCGAGGTGATTTGAGGGAAGACGGTGTGAAATAATAGACGAAACGTATTCGTGTTGCACTTAAGATTATCTCGCGTAATACGATTGAGGTCAGCACATAAACTGAAGACGTATCCGTTTCGATTGCGAACCCCTGTACGCCATTATATAAATCAATAACATGACAACTTCAATAAAATTATAAACACCCAATTACCAATTGTTATTTAAATAGAATTACAACCAATTATCAATTTATTTTTAAGATATTCACATTTATTTTTAAGATATTCACATCTGAATCATAAATTTAGACCTTAGATTTTTTTCTATCTTCGATTGGTGTAAAACACTACCTTCCCCTCCACTGTCCACATGTCTTCTCTGCCATTTATAAATGTGATGATCGAACCTCAACATTCGTAAAACCAAAAGGCCAGATGACATTTTACATTAACCATTTTACATGCATTGTAGTTAACGCTTCTCTATTTCGTTTCAGGTGACTTAGTTATTGTAAATATGAAAACCAAGCTGTTGTTGTTGTTATTAGTATACGCGGTGACGGTTTGTAAACCTACAGGTGAATATAGATTTAAAATACAGGAAGAAATAGAAAAACAACTTATAATTTGTATACATCCATATTTAGCAAGAATATACATTATACTCTTGTCAGTTCTAGCTTTCTTTTGTTTCGTAGAAAATAGTCATGATTATCCAGGCCTGCCAACGAGCCGGAGAACGGTCGGTAGACTAATTTGAAACCAATTTGGCCTATTTTACACTATTGCCCGGATGTAATGGTACACATGATTTGTAACATATTACTACAATCTATCAAATTTTCCTGTGATTTGGTTTCTGATAATATACCACTGTATCTGTATTTTCAAATTCATGTTAAATGAGCTATTCGTCAGTAACAAAAATAATAACCAACAAAATGTTATGTATTATTTAATCTTATCGACTAAAACTTGGGGTTATAACCAAGTATACCCCACCTTTCCGGGCGCTTTCTAAGCCACCGTTTTAACATGTGTTTTCAAGCTTGTGAACAGATAGAGATCAGGTTTCGTAAAGGCATAAAATCCTTACAAATTCGCTCAGCTCGGATAAAATGCTTTTTACGCTTTACGTGGCTCTCTTTTAAAGTTTATTTCTGTTGCAGAAATGCCGTGTGCTGTTAAAAATGGTGGTTGCAATCAGAAATGTGTGAATGTAAATTCAACAAATCATAGGTGTGAATGCCGAAAAGGTTTTGAATTTCTTTCGAATTCCACAACATATTGCCAGGATATAGATGAATGCATCTCAGTCTGGTCCTGTTCTCAATTATGCACAAACCTTGAAGGGGGTTACTCGTGTCATTGTTCAAAGGGTTATACACTTGTTCGCAGAAAACACTGTAGGGCTAATGGTGGTAGTACTGAACTTCTGTTATCAAGGACCATTAATATTGGATGGATCGACATTGAGAATGGGACAAAGGCTAATACTTTTATACCGTTAACTGAGAAGAAGAACGTGGGCGTTGCTATTTTCTTGGATTATGATATTCGTGATAGTAAGTTTTATTGGACTGCCTTGACACAGATTCGAAGGTAAGACTCTCTTCAGATTATGAACTAAGTCGATGCCCTGATTAAAAACTAATTCACGTTTCCATAATTCTTTATCCATGTTTATGTGCAACATGTGATCAGAAGGTATATGTTGTCCACATTTTTTTTTCAAATTTGTATTTGAAACTTTCTTGCGTTATTCAAAAGAACCAAAATCTCGCATCGATATTTCGCAGATTTATTACTCCTGTGTACTGATCCAAACGCGTTGAAATGGTTAAACCAGTTATCAGAGATGTTTGGACCCCGAACTGGAACCCAAACTCTGCACATCGTGCTGTTCTTGGTTGCGACGCTCTACCATAAAAAAGCTAAGGCTCCAGTATTGACATGGTCGGTTCTTTGTCCATATAGTACTATTCGTAGGTATAAAAATATCAATATTCAAACAATATTTGGTGATCATGGACATGTTTTTCAGTGTTGATTTTAATGATACGAAGAAGGTTACAGTTATAGCTAACACCTCTGGTAGTGAAGGTATTGCAGTTGATTGGATCCACAAACATTTGTACTGGACTGACAAGAAACTGAAACAAATCGTAGTTTCCTCACTTGACGGTCAAATGAAACGTGCGTTAATTACCAGAGATTTAGATCAACCAAGATGTATAGTGGTTGTACCAAAGACTGGGTAAGCATTTCATTAAAAAATGAATTTTGCAGCCGATAGACGATAAACCATTTGTATTATTATATTTTGATGCCAAAATACTTTTCCCATAGACGGAGACCATTTGAATAATTCATAAATCACGGTGGCTAAGTGGGTAAGACGCTGGCTCGCTAGCATGGAGGTCGTGTGTTCAATCCCTGCATTGGCCGAGAAAGTTCATCCAGATTATTCGGCGTGGTTTCCCCTTGTAATTGATGCAGGACGGAGGGCCTGACAAGGACAGCTGTCTAGTTGTTCGGATGGGACGAAAAACCAAGGTCCCGTGACCCGTGTACACATTGGCGTGCACGTGAAAGATCCCTTGGCAGTTGGAATTCGATATAAGAGTAGGCCGTGGCGCCGCTGCCCGGGCAAAATTTCCCTCATAGCACACTGTATGGCGTATGCCCGTCTTCATTAGCCCAGTTTAGGAGCAGAACAGTAGGACATTAAACCCCATTTCATTTCATTTCTGTATAAATAATATATAATAATAATTTTATAAGCGAACAAGACAAGCTTAAAGGTATCAGATCAGGCAACGTTTTTAAATGTTGATTGGTATATTACTTAGTATTCAGAACTTACTTAGTTTTCCAAGCTCATATTTATTCACACATCGAACCTTTTATTGGGATATGTTTATAATAACGTCCTTGATAGAAAGCACCCCCTGGTAGTGATAGAATTAGTTTTGTCAAATGTCAACATTCCATCCGTCAAAGGCAACAGCTTATCCTAAACAAGTCTTACCATATACGCATAAATAAAATAATATACTAAGGAATTCGAGGTAGAGGTTGCATATCCATCGATATTGATGGAAATAAAGTATTGGGTTAGGCTGAAGTGTTATTTCTATAAGTGGGTTAGCTGTGTCAACTGTGAGACACTAAATTGAGTATATCTTCACACACTGGTGTTTCGTACAGATGTAATTGTTGATGATAGAGACAGATTGCCATGTCTCTAAATAAATAAAAATATAAATTACAATTTTAATTTTGATTTAAATAAAAAAGTTCTCTTCATTTTAGCATATTGAAATTTGAATTGCAGGGAGGGAAATGAGTTTCGACAAAAGCTCTATGCAATCACTTGTTGTAGTTGTAATCTCATAGTTATAGCAATATTTTATAAAGATTCATTTTTGCTTGTTCTTATTTTGTCTCCAGATACATGTACTGGACTGACTGGGGTAAAAATCCTAGAATCGAAAAATGCGGACTGGATGGAACCATGCGCAAAATCATTGTTCAGACCTATATAAAATGGCCAAATTCAATCACAGTTGGTGAGTATATCGGGTGAATAGGCCTTTTAATTTCAATGCTTCTCACACCCCTACTTTTGATATCTCATCGGTTTTTTAAGGTATGATGCTTCATAGTTGTTTGTGGGGTGGGGGTACAAATGCTGTACACAGGTTTAATCGAAGTGAATTATGACGACGCGGACAATGTTCATATGAACTATCTTAAAGCATTAACCAGGATGTGTAGTTCCAATTAGTATCCAATAACCACAATTCGCAACCCATAGACACACAATAGTCGACACTTTTCAGAACGAGGCGAAAATACGGTTAAATCTCATACACTAATAAGCAGGTGCCTCACCCTTTGCAGAAAATTAAAAGGGATAATCGATGTTGGGTTTATGTTAGGCCAAACCATTTTAATTTTTAGTTCATCGAAGTATTTCGAACTGAATGCTTTTTAATTCGTTTTCCTTAGAAATTTAAGGCTTAATTTTTTAATACAGAAATTCAAATTGGTGTGGCCCGAGTTTCAGTATCACAAAACTTTCCATGATCCAATAAGTTTTGAAGATACAACTTCCCCGAATTATGTCAGTTATTGCCACCATGTACATTTAAATTCATAATTCCCTTCCCCATGACCGATCTGGAAATGGTTCCTGGTTTCACCTCGCTGGCCTCGAAATGATTCTACCTCGCTTTCATCCCATAACGTTCGTCATGAATAATGACACTTGAATTCTACCTTGTTTCTTTACGGTCCAGAAATGACCTAGTTTGCGTCGAGTGGAGTTACCCCCTCTCTCTCCTGATATCGCCCTCGTGCTGGAACCAATGTTCAACTCGATCTATCCCTCGGCGTCGTCCCAGTGCTGTCCAAAACTTCCTCAGCACTGCCACACAGCGTTCCGTATTCACCGTTTCGGCTCTCTCATTTTCGTCTTCGAACCAATATGGGGCGATGAGATGGCTGCCCATGCTGTGCACTTTGCTGAGTGTAACGACCTCTGTAACACATCCTCCGGTGCGGCTGTACCCCAATAAACATTATTTGGGCTGTTTACATGGCCTGGCAGCAGAAAGTGCGCGTCGTCAGAAAATCAGACATGATCCAAGAAGTTTGGATTTTCTTCGATTGTGTTATAAAACCATTCACACATAGTTATACGTTTTACTTGTCTGCCCCGGTAATTTTTTGCTTTATTTGGATCTGGTAAGGACACAATTGAAGATCTGATTTAAGAACACGCCTCAGATAATCTCGAGAGATTCCCAACTCCCAACTCGTCGAAGTGATTTTTTTGGACTCCGCACCACCGAGCCCCTTACAGCATCAATGTTCCTTCCTGTCCTAGCACTCAACCTCCGACCAGAATAAGTGTCCCTCAGACCTTTAGAATTTAGATTTTGCACAGTCCTATGGTCTCTGAACATCACGTACAACCGGAGAATCGAAACCACGCCAGTTGACTCAATGACAGACCTTATGATACAGGCGCACTTGCTAACCATTCGACAACCCCCCCCCCCGCTTTCATCCTTTGGGGAAAGGGGGTTTTACTCTTCCGGATATGTTATCTTCGCCGAAGGGCATTATACTATACTAAACAGCTAAAAAAAAACCCCAAAACGTCAGTAAAATTTCAAAATCAGAGAGGCGCTTTAATCAAATCATTCTAGAAAACGACTTACTAAATGGATCAAAGCAATTTTTTTGTGAACAGTATGTTGACACATTAGTGATTAAATCATCACAATTCAAAGACATTACGAGAAGGTTTAGAGTCTGTACACAGTCTTTACATCCGTATCTGGTGTCTCCACTGCAAGTGTCAATAACAGCAGCGCAGCGTCTGTACTTGGGAGTGGACCAGACGATTGATGAACGCCGTGGACACCTGGAACGACACTCTCAGAAAAGCCTGGCGCAATCCATTGACTGTGTTTGGTCTCGGTATGACGTTATTAAGTATCCTCTGAATTTCATCCAAAAGATGTTCAATCGGGTTTTTGTCTGGACTAAGGGCTGGCCAGTGCATAACGTTGACACCGTTCAACTGTAGAAAGTCCCGAGTAACTCTGGCGGTGTGGGCAAGGGAGTTGTCATGCTGGAAAACTTTGTTTCGATGACATGCGAAATATGGTATGACGTGGGGTCTGAGAGCTTGATCGATGTAGCGTACTGCTTTGATGTCGCCTCCTCTTCCTGGACCAAGATTTTGGAACACCATAGGACCCATTCTCTGGTTCAGACTGATTCCACCCCAAACCATTAAAATTGGTCCTCCCCATGAGTCTCGTTCCATGAAACATTGGTCAGAATAACGCTGGCCACGTCGACTGCATATTCTGGTCCCGCAATCTGCAGTTGATACGCAATACCGACTCCCATCTATGAACAGAGCAGTTCTCCATTGCCTGTGTCGTCAGTTCTGGTGTTATTGCGCAAACTGTAGACGTTCACGTCGATGGCGAGGGGTGAGGATCGGTCCACGGTAAGGTCTACGGCAATAGATGTTCTCTCTGGTGAGACGTCGGCGCACTGTATCGGTACTGATGGGTCTTTTGTGTAGTCCCGCTGTTTGACGTGCTGTCTCAGATGCCTGTGTGATGGGATTCGGCTTGGGCAGTGTGGCCATCGTCGAGTCTTCCAAGCGCCTGGTTCCTCTGAGCTGTCGTGAGTCGTTGCATGCCGCTGACGCTGTAGTGTGAATGATTCAACCAGGTATGGGGGTGCATTATATAGGGCTGGGTTGGTACAGAAATTGTTTGAATTTTGTCACTGTTATTCCACATTTTGACGTTTTTGTTTTACTTTTCACCTGTATCCTTCAAGATAGTTAGCTGACATTAGATCTATAGTTGCAGTTATGTTAAAAGGCGCTAAATGGACACAAATGGGTCGCAATGCATATAATAATGTAATATGAATGTACATAAACTGATTTACACTAAATCGTTTCTGTTTACTGTAATTTCTAATCAGTTATGTTCGGCGAAATACGCGAAGAGTCTGAATTGAATAGAAGTCATTGGCGTCTGGTTATTCCAGTCTACAGTATTCTCCTACATGGGATATGTTTAGCCTCGGTCATCGATACAACTGGCGCTGGAAAGCATTCGGAGACACGATTTGTGTGCCTATTTTAAATCTTTCATTTTGTCTTAAATATTGGATATCAGAATCCCAACCTTCCATTATAAGATAACCACATCAATGTTAATTTAAATTGACTAATACGTTGTTTGCAATGTCGAAGACTGTGTATTATATTCAGTTAAAGACTTGCCCCCTTTTAAACAGGGGGTGGGGGGATGGCTGAATGGTTAGCGTGCGCGCGCTGTATCATAAAGTCTGTCATAGAGTCGAATCCCCGGTTGTACGTGGCAGGGAGTAGGGTCGCCTGTCCAACCTCGTGGGTTTTCTCCGGGTCCTCCGGTTTCCTCCCACTGCTAAAGACCCCTACGCGCAAGCGAATTATGTAAATAAAATTAAACCATATGTTAGTCCCGAAATGACCTAGTTTGTGTCGAGTGGACGTTAAACCCCGTTTCTCTCTCTCTCCCTTTTAAACAATTTATTGTCTTTTCTATGACAGACTTGGTGGAGGAACGTTTATATTGGGTTGACGCAAAACTTGATTACATCGCTACTGTTGATTTTGATGGTGGAGATCGTCGGATAGTCTATCAGACTCAGTCGAACACTCACTCATTTGGGATTGCTTTATTTGAGGTAAGGTATTCTGTATGATACTAGGCTGGCTCTAGATTATTCATGCTGTCTACAGCAATTATACCCGCTCTCAACTAATCTGGCTGGAATGAAAGGTATTTGCATCGTCAGTTGGCATGGTTTCATTATAGCTGTTTATTTGAAACACAATTTTGTAGAAAGAATTCTAAAGGGTTATTAAACCCAAAGTACACCATCTAATAAATGCTTAATCGAATTTATTAAATTTTGTAGGATTTCGTGTATTGGACCGATTGGATGACCCAGTCCGTTTACAAAATGAGTAAATCCGGAGGAGAGCCAGTTGTAATTTTTTCAAATAAACATCCACAATTCAGGGGCCTACGGGTCTTCCAAGAATCCAGGCAACCTTTATGTAAGTAAACAATTCTTGATCTTATGGCTCAGTAGCTGGGATGATGGCATCCTTTGTATCTCCAGTTGTATCGTTTCTTTCTAACGATATTACTGGGGATGTCGAGGATGATGATGACAGACAAAGCCCGTTAATGTAGTTGCTTTTGTTCATCCAGAATTTGTAATCGAGTCATCGATAACAAATCAAAGGAAACAACTTAAAAGTTTGCGAGGGATGTGCACTGTGACTAGCAATATAATGTAATTATGTACCTTTTATTACAGCTAATAATAAATGTGGTACCGATAATGGTGGCTGTTCGCATTTCTGTCTTCCTTCCCCGGAAAGCAACAATGGTCGTGAGTACAGCTGCGTGTGTTCAGACAATTTTACACTTTCTTATGATGAAAAGTCGTGCGTAGAATCAGGTTTGTGGATTCCATTGTTTCTAATGTTCTAATCAGAATTAATTGCTATAGTATAATTAGTTATTCATCCAAATACTGAACATATATATTTATCGAATCTGCCCATAAGACATTTAATTACATACTCTGTCTGTGGTTATATATACAAGTTCTTTAAGCTATTAGGATTTAAAGGGTAAGAAAGAGATGGCACGAAGTTTAGGATGTACTTGTCAACCACTTCCGAAAAATATATTCAGAACAAATCCCCCCATATATTCCGTATCCAAAATACAATTAGAATGGCAGATTTGTTACATACAAGTTATTCTTATTCTAATCCTAAAGTAGTACATATGTTTACCAATAGACTGTCGCTGATGGTAAGTGTAGATAGAGTATGTGGTCATCATTTGAGGTATTTCGAATGACATGCTAACTGCAACATGGTGCCAATTGAATCTTTCTCAAGAATATCAGTCAAAAATGGCTTACTTCCGTTCAGTATTTACTCTTTACAAAGATATAATAAATTTTAAAAATCCACAACATGTCGGCATCCTCTTTACAAGATATAAATGAGAGATTAAAATGACATATCGTTATTATTATAAAATTAATATTGTTTTTCTTATGTATCTGACTAGTCAACAATAGTCTGCCCACGTAAAGTATTTGGCTTGATGTGTTCGAACGATTACATCGGAAATATGCGATGACAAACAACAAACATTCGATACACAGTCTGACCAAAACATTGTGGGCAGCAGATAAGGGTATATTCAACAAGAAACAAAAGTCAGCTTTTAGACCATCTGATAGCAGATCTGTCTGTATTGTCTGTATACGTGGGTCTACTTAAGGTCCCACGGGGCATCATATTACCAAAATCAAAGTATGGTGCCAAAACAGATTTCGTTGTTGCAGTGTTATGGTTTGATCGGCCATCGTAACACCAGACAGACATATATTATGCACATCCCAGAAAGCTTAATTGGTGTTCGCTACTGCAACTGCTCAGAATTTCAGTACTTCAGTGGCAACTTAGATGTAGTTCCTCGTGTACGGCGATGTTACCCTGAGCATTAAATGTTGCTGGCTGTCAATAATTCATAGTTTATAGGTACCGTAGTTATTAGTAACGTTCGTATTATAACTATTATTATATATACAGGTTACAATTTTATGGAATACAATTACTGCATATTACTGAGCGACGTTTCGACTAGGCTTCTCTATAGTCATTATCAAGCAATGATAAAAACGTGAATCATTGCTTGATAATTATTAGAGAAGCCTAGTCGAAACATTAGTAATAAGCAGTAATTGTATTCCATAAAATTGTGACTGATTATTCCAGTTCAATTACTAAATGCTATTGATATCATTTATTAAACGCCCAATTTTTCATGGCCGCTGATTGAAAAAAAAGTCGCGTTGTTAGCGTGTGGTCCCTTTAGAGGTTTAAAATAAACGTTCGAGTATATCACCGTTACACCATAATGATGGTTGAGTTCACACACCGGACCGAAACTGCCAGACAAAATGACCGCTCCCTGTTTACAAATAAGAGTTACAGTATGTAATATCAAGGTTGTGACCATATCTAGAGGTCACAATTTTGATCCGATTTTGATGTCCCAAAGATCTCAGTTCCTTTCGATATTCGCACATATCAGACAGTAACTTCCTGGATTATGGCCCCAGAATTTACGAAAAATCCGATTTTGATGAAACTTAAAATGTCTATATCCCAAAGATCACAGTTCCTTTCTGTATTCACACATATCAGACAATAACTTTTTGTTTGGATTATGCCCCCTGATTGTACGAAAAATCACATCTTTAGCTGGTGGATCCTCTAGAGGTCACAATTTTTTTTATCGATATTCACACTTTTCAGACCATAACGTCCTGGATTATGGCCCCTGATTATGGCCCGCGTTTTTTTCTTTTTAATTTTCTTCTCTATCCCTCTCTTGAAATATGTGGATGTATCTTGCCTGGCAACCGCTGGTTATTATATATATGACTGTATATTTTCAGAATTTGTTCTAACCTCCGGGAAACCTCCACCCATACCCAGCACAAACACAGTGGGAACAACCGATAGTAAGATTGATATTATTATCACGTTGTGGTGTGGTAGTCGAGCCCCACCACGCCTACAAAAGGTTTAATGCTTGCAGATTAACGTCTCGACTGTACACAATTAATGATTTGTAGCATCATGGGTCATACTTTCAGTACTTTCAATACACGGTGTATATGAATTGCAACTTACCATAAGGAAGGATTTTTCACATACAAAATGACAGACAGCTTAATAGATAACATTTACTACATAAGTATATTAACTGCAACGTTTCAATGAGGGCAGCCTGTCTTTATCATTATCAAGCAATGTCACGGTGATTAATTGTTGTTTAAATTCCTTATATTGTAACATGAGTTGTCGATTTAGGGTTTACTTTTTGTTTATTTATTGTTGTTTTGATGTGAATTGTAGATCTTCCTTCTTACTTATTGGGATCATATTAATTATCAGTTTTCTTAGTTCTGACTAATGTTTAACACCATCATGGTATCTTTGAATGGCTCCCTTCTGTTCATTTGTTAATTAGATTAATTTTATCCGTTTGCATAACCTGCTGTAATATGTACCATCACTGAAATCAAGAGAATGTTATGTGACATAGTGCCCCATAACTTGTATCATATTAAGACTATATTTTATACATGTACAATACTTATTTAGATGCATGGAACCAATCTGAACCCTACATGTGCGAACCCACTGAACATCACGTTATTTTAAAATCTGTGATATAAGCTGTACTGTCCACTGCATATATACACGCCTACTACACATATACCCGCGTATTTAATTACGGACTTAATAGTTTCCACATGTAGTGACAATGCTCGTTATTAAATAGCTATACGAAGGTATATAAATAAGACCCGCTGTTAGAGACTTAGAAAGGAGAGCGGAGACGAACGTATGGACTTACCCGAGTTCAGCCGCTGCCGTGGCAGAAGGCGAAATGTTTGTCTTAAGGTAGCAATATACCGTGTTTATAGTTATAGTTATTTATGTTCCTGTTGTATTTATGTAGCTGTTTCATATTCTGTTCCCGGCGTAAATAAATCCTATAATTAAGAAACTTATCACTGTTATCACTAATATTGTTACAGTTATCTATAAAGCTTTCTGTTAATATATATTGCTTTCGCTAAATGATTTTAAAGATATTTATCTCATAGTGTGGTAGTTATTTCGTTTCGATCTTAAATGCATACTGTTTGAGATTGATAACAGTTAGCAGGTCGTTGCTTAAACAGTTTAAACAATCTTTACCTCGGGCTGGGCAGTTTTGCATACCACCATCATCATGCTCCATGTCCCAAGTAATCTGTTGTAAACCATGTTTGTCACACATTGTAGGATCGCCTGTCCAACTTCGTGGGTTTTCTCCGGGTCCTCCGGTTTTGTCCCACTGCTAAATTGAAATACAATTGAACCATATGTTAGTCTCTCTCTCTCTCCCTCTCTCTCTCTCTCTCTCTCTCTCTCTAATCGCATAATCATACCCATGAAATATGGTATTAACTTTGTATGTATATATTGTAATATCAATTTATTTTTTGCATCATCAGGTGGCAGTGCTAAACTTTTGGTATCTAATTCCAACAATATTGGATTGATCCATATTGAGAATGAGACACATGAGATTTTGCTTGGGAAGAAGGATGTAAGACGTGCTGTTTTCCTGGATTATGATATTCGTGATAATAAATTTTATTGGACTGACATGGTGCGCGACCAGATTCTAAGGTACAGTACTCTTCATATTATAGTGCATCTTTGTCACTATGTCCTGGGCCCCCTGTTTCCCAGTGAGTAAGACTCTGGTTCGCCCCTGGTGTTGACCCAGAAAGTTCCTCGGAATTTTCCGGCGGGATTTCCTCCCTTTTCAGTGGTACAGGATGGGGGAGGGGATCTGGCAAGGAACATTGTGTGGTGGGATGAAGAATCGAGATCCCGTGTACACATTGGCGCTCACGTAAAAGAACTCTTTGACAGTTTGAATTCGACAATAAATTGTCCAGGGAAGTTCCTGTCACAGCACTCTGCATTGCGTATGCCGCCTTAATTAGCCCAGTTGTTACGTTAGGGCGTTAAATATCATTTCATTTACATAATGCCCTGATTAAAAAATGATATTTTAAAGTCAAAATCATAAGGTATGTCATTCAAAAATACCCCAGAGTTTCGCGAATGTCTTTCCGGTATGTATAGATCGAAAGCGTTTGAGATTGCAAGGTTGGGGTATGAGATTTTAAATATCCATATTTTGTGATTTTGTACATATTTTCCAGTGTTGATTTTAACGATACGAAGAACATAATGGTGATAGCTGAGAATATTGGTAGTATTGGTATTGCAGTTGATTGGATTCACAAACATTTGTATTGGACTGATGGAGATCTTAAACAAATTGCAGTTTCCACACTTGACGGCCAAATAAAGTATGCGTTAATTACGAAAGATGTGGAAAACCCAAGAGCTATAGTGGTTGAACCAAAGAGTGGGTAGGCATTTTATATTCGATTATCCAAACCAAAACTTTGTAGACGAATAAATTCGAAGGAAACAGAAGGTGTCACATTTCTAATTGATTATTATATATTGCTTAGTCCTGAAGCTACTTATATTGTTGTCGGTGTTGTTTTTGCTCTTCGCCAAACTGTTTAAGGCACCACCAATTAAGATGGCTGCGATGAAGTTATACTTGGTTCCTGGTCCATATAGAATGGTCGTAATTGTATTATCAATTTTCAGCTTGATACCACTCAATGTTAGGAAATTAAAACAAGTTAGCATCAACGATGAACACATCAACACAAAAAAGACAACAAATTTATAACATATACGGCGTTACATGCGTTATACCTCTTTAATTTAATTGGTTTTATCTAATAAGCTATTTCGATTAATGACATGGGGCAAGTTGTGTACCACTAAATGTTTATTTACAACGATTTCACCACCTTTATGGAAAGTAGAACACAAAATCGGTTATTTCTTTACATTGATTTTATCTACAGACCTGTTTGTTTTAGCAAAGACCAATTGTCACCCATATAGCAAATAATTATAATGACTTGATAAAATCGACAATTTTATGTTTGACTAAATGAGATCTGGTCTTTTGAGCATAATAAACATTGGGGCTTCGGAAAGAAATAATTAGGCACCACGCAATAGCCAATTATAATTGTCAATGATAAAACAATACATTATTATGACAGTGTTTTTCTTTTATCTTCAGGTACATGTACTGGACGGAGTTGGGTCAAAATCCTAGAATAGAAAAATGTGGATTGGATGGGACATTGCGGAAAGTCATCGTACATACCGACATTGAATCGCCAAATGGACTCACCTTGGGTGAGTGTCTCTACATGTAATCGTTTCTGTTAATTTCGGTAGAAAACCCCTCCCACCACCGTGCATTTTGCATTACTTTCTGGGGTTTAAATTGGATAAATTCCGAAATTGGGTTAATCATTCAAAAGACGGTATGGTCTAGGCATATGTCAATAAAATTATCCCGAAACCTATAAGATAAATACTAACTATTTTGAAGTACAAGAGATGTGGTGTTCACGTATCCAACAACCACATTTCCCAATCCACGGATTTTGGATTATTTTCTGGTAGGAACCATTTCAGAAGATCCAGAAGAATATTCTACGAATATTTAAGGCTGGACGCGTTGTTAACATGTGAGAATAATAGGTTATTGGCTAGATTATCCGGTCTTTTTCATTATCATAAACACCTAGATTGGATAACCTGCTCTAATACGTCAGGCTCGCTCCTACGTCACTCCTTTTCTGACTTAAAATATAGAGACAGGTAGTGGGCATCCATGCTTTGACGTAGTGTTACTACACGGGTATCCCTAATGATGGCGTTCAGCGTTAAAATGAGTAAGCTAGAAGATTTGTTAAAGTAGCTAAGTCCGTAACTCAATATCATCCAAAATCTTCGACATTGAAAACACGATTTGTTTGCTATTTAAATCAGCATTGGTGTTGTGATCTTACCTGCAAAAGATGGGTTTCTGATATCCAATATTTAAGACAAAATAAACATTTTACCATTGGTACACGAATCGTGTACCATAATGCGTTTCAGTGCCATTTGTAACAAGGTGCTCAAAGAATGAGGCTAGACATATTCCACAAGTCATGTCAAACGGTGATATCATATTTTTATTTGGAGAGCATGCGCAATAACCAGACGCTAGAAACTGACTTGCGGTTGAGACTTCTGGCGTATTTCGCCGAACATAACTGATGGCAATTCACAGTAAAAAGGACACGATTGAATGTAAAACAGTTTATATAAATTCATATTACATTATTATATGTGTTGCGATTCATTTGTGCCAATTTCTAGGTCCAAAATATTAGCGATTTAGCTCCTTTAAGCTTTTCTTTAATGTCTAAGATTGCTCTAGCCAAAGTAAACGTTGATCGTGCGACATGCTGCATTTAATTGCTGTTGACATCTTTATTGCATACTTCAGCGTCCGATCATGTTTTTGTTTACATTGGCAATGTGCGCAGAAAGAGATGCGCACTGCCGGGAGGAATTCCTCCTGGCAAGATTGCTGCCCGCTACCTGTCTCTATACAATCTCCCAAACAGAGTTGTCTTCCATAGCGAGACTTGCGTGGAGAATGGTCTCTATTTTGAAGTCAGAATAGCGCAGTGACGTAGGAACCAGCCTGACGTCATTTAGAACAGGTTGTCCAGTCTACATAAACACCGTCTAAGGGAGATAACTCGTTCTAAAACAAGATAATGACGCCAATGAAATTAATTTAAGAATGTCATTTCAAATAATCCATTTGATTTCATGCCAGTTCAATATCCAACACTCATAATTTTTTTTATTGTAAAATTTCTCTCTTCATGGGCCATAATCTATGTGTTTTTTTTAAAATTAATCCTAATTCGTCGTCACGATTCATGTTTCTTTATATTAATGCAAGAATTATGGGATTTATTGCGGAAAGGGGCGCAACTCTTTACTTGACTTGGCCAAAGATACTGGATAATTAACCACATTAAAAACCAAATTACCGGTTACGCATGGGCAATGGACTTTACGTTAAATATTGACAACGGTCCCAGACCCTCCGTACGTTGAATACTAGGAGGTTCTGAGTGACCGAGACTACTGTTACCAGGACCGGGCATATTGTTCATAGTTAAGTTAATTGGATATGAACTGCCTACTACTGAATTAAAACTGGTGAGATTTCCAGTTGAATGCTACGAAAACGAGTTATTTCATTGGATATTTGGTCTGTTTGTCACGACTCATGATCACTTCCAATAACGAATTTTTTTTCGTAAAATAAATACGCTTAGAGAAAGTGTATGAACTATTAACTGCATAACAGAAATTCTAAAATAGTTCAAGGACAATAACTCATCATAATCAACTTCGCTTTAACATTAGTTGGAATCAAACTTGATTGCAGGCGAAATATAGCTAGCCAATATCACGATTTCATTGGTGAACATCCGTCTTGAAAATATCATTGTATAATTTACAGACATGTTATTTCAAGTTATTCGATATAACAGTTATATAGTAAATGTGTGCATACTTAGAAATGGTCAGCAGATGCACTATGGTTAGGCTGATTTATCTTCTTTTTTAAAAAAACAGATTTTGTTGATGAACGTTTATATTGGGTTGACGCAAAACATGATTACATCGCTAGTGTTGATTTTGATGGTGGAAATCGTCGAACAGTCTATCAAGCACAGTCAAACTCTCATTCATTTGGGATTACTATATTTGGGGTAGAGTATTTATATATACTGAGCGCCATGGAAAACGCATCACTTTTTTCCCCAAATATTTTATTCCCAAACGCAAAAAATATCGGCCCGTGTGCACCAAAAAAAATTGCACGAGATGCACATGAAAAACGTGCAGCATTATGTGTGAGCCCTTTAAAAGCATGTTTTCAACTTAATGTGCAGTACATGAACTGTGAAACGTCAATCTGTCGTAATTTGTTGTTGGACGTGTGAAGGAATCGAGCTAGAGATGCCGAGACTTACTGAAAATCAACGGAATGAAGCCATGGGAATGTCCAGGGCTGGCATGTCTACACGTGCTATTGCCAGACACTTCAATTGTCATCAGTCCACTATTGTAAGGTTGGTGGAACGTGTTCGAGTTACTGGATCAACGTCCTGGTCCACAACGCGTTACAACCCAGGCTCAAGACCGCTACATCCGGGCCACTCATCTGCGTGACAGATTCCACCCAGAGACTCGAACAGGTGCAGCAGTCGTCGGAAGACAAGAACCAGTAAGTGCCAACACCGTAAGACGTCGTCTAAGAGAAGCAGGACTTCGTGCACGACGACCGTATGTTGAAGCTATCCTCGGGGATCGTCAGCGGCGTTTGATATGGGCTCAAGGACACCAGACATGGAGAAGAGTAGACTGGCAAAGTGTGCTCTTCAGTGATGAGAGTCGCTTTCATCTTTATCACGCTGATGGCCGTCAACGTGTGTGGCGACGTCTTGGGGAACGTCTTGCAGACTGCTGCGTCTTCGAAACGAATCGATGGGTTGGTTGGGGGAAGTGTAATGGTGTGGGGAGGCTTCACATTTCATCACCGGACCGCCCTACACATTTGCAGGGGTCGCGTTAATGCTGTAGCCTACCGTGATGATGGCCCGTGGAGGACACACGCGCTACTGACATCTGTGTCGTACTTTTGGTTTTGACCCCTCTGACTTTGTACCGTTGATTACAGATTAAACATCCATAAGTGTACAAATGTGTTGTTATTGATGTGTTCCCATTTGAATATTGTTCACAATAAGAAGCAAAATAAATAAGATATGTTTACACGATCATTTTGTTATATGAAAAACTAAGTGATGCGTTTTTCATGGCGCTCAGTATATTTGTATATGTGTTCAAGTACTTCTATGTTTACGGTAGATAAATACATATATAAATAAAAGAATACGTCCAGGTAAAAAAAATACCACTTTACTTCATTATGATATATACCAAATCATAAGCTAGCTGTCTGCATTCTGTAGGTGTCTTCTGATGTTAATAATGTAATAAATAATTAACATTCAGCCATACATATATACGTGTATACAATGCAAGTCTCCCCACAAGTTTACCCCCCCCCCCCTTCACTCAAATCCAATTATGATAGATGTTCAGCCACAATACAGTATAGTACCATCAATTCAAAAGTTGTATAAAATAAATCCGTACAATTTATCGAATTATTGTATATGTTACAGTCAATGTCTACAATCAGGCAATGTGTAAAATGCATTTTTAACCCTAGCCCTAAACCTAACCCTAACCCTAACCGGCAATGTACACATTGACTGGTATATTTCAGGCATTTTACACATTGCCTGATTGTAGACATTGACTGTCACATATATAAGGCTGGTTCCAGATTTAACTTGTTTCTTTCAATCCAATCAAAATTTACAAGAGCTGTTTAGCCGAAATATAATATTATAACATGTATTCTGAAGGGCTTTAAAGAAATATAAACCAACGAATTAATCCGTCGCCTAACTGAATGATTAAAAATTTAACTTTGTAGGATTTCATGTATTGGACGGATTGGATAACTTTTTCTGTTTACAAAATACATAAATACGGTGGATACGCACCCGAGGTTGTTTTTACTAGTTTACGTCAACCAAAAGGTATCCAGGCCATCCATGAATCCAGGCAACCTTTATGTAAGTGAACCATTCTTAATATTATGTTCCAGCAGGAGATGATGATTGAGACATTCCGGTAAATTAGTTGTGTTAGTTCGCCAATAACTAATTACAACAAATTGCATCGGCAATAAGACAAAGCAATATATGTATGTATGTTTTATTTCAGCTGAAAATAAATGTGGTACCGATAATGGTGGCTGTTCTGATTTGTGTCTTCCCTCGCCTGTGATTGACAAAGGTCGTAAATACAGATGCGTGTGTCGAGACAATTTTACGCTTTCTTATGATGAAAAGTCATGCGTAGAATCAGGTTTGTGGATTCCATAATTGCTAATTTTCTTATTAAGAGGTAATTGCTATAGTATAATTAGGTTCTTGGAATAGTCTTTGGGCATGTAATAGTTGACACTTCCGAAAACATACCAAAATTAAAGCAGCAACTCGCCCTCGTTTAATAACCAGTGTATAACCAGCATGACATGTTAACCTTGGGTCGACACCTTACCTGAATCTAGGACCTATCGGGTAACAATAGAACCGATGAAATTTACCAAGAATGTTTATGTTGGTAAGTATAGTTAAAAAATGAAAAATATGTTACCTAAAGTAAAGTGAATGCATTACATAATAAAATGTATTTATTGATAATGTTAATTTTCAGTCAGTATTTGAGAGAGAGAGAGAAATGGGGTTTAACGTCCACTCGACACAAACTTGGTCATTTCGGGACTAACACATGGTTTAATTTTATTTCAATAATTCGCTTGCGCGTAGGGGTTTTTAGCAGTGGGGGGAAACCGGAGGACACGGAGAAAACCCACGAGGTTGGACAGGCGACCCTACTCCTTGTCACGTACAACCGGGGATTCGAAACCACGCCAGTCGACTCAATGACAGACTTTATGATACAGCGCGCGCACGCTAACCATTCAGCCATCCAACCCCCCCAGTCAGTATTTGACATTGCGAATGTTATAGTCAGATATAGTGGATTCTGATCTTCAAAGTGCTATAACCGGAAGCGAACAAAATAATTTCTCCCAAATGTAAATTATGAAATGAAATGGGGTTTAACGTCCTACTCTTCTGCTCCGAACTGGGCTAATGAAGACGGGTTTACGCCATACATTGTGCTAGGAGGGAAATTTTGCCCGGACAGCGGCACTACGGCCTACTCTTATATCGAATTCTGTCAAGGGATCTTTTACGTGTACACGGGACCTCGGTTTTTCGTCCCATCCGTACAACTAGACAGCTGTTCTTGTCGGGCCCTCCGTCCTGCATCACTGACAAGGGGGGACCACGGCGGAAAATCTGGATGAACTTTCTCGACCAATGCAGGGATCGAACACCCGACCTCCAGGCTAGCGAGCCAGCGTCTTACCAACTTAGCCACTAAATTATGACTATAAAATATCTGATGGAATCTAGAAATTCGTTTTTATTAATTACTTTAAATGAAGGAAATGAAATGTTCTTGTCCGACTGGGCTAATGAAGTCGGTCATATGCCATACAGTGGGCTATGACGGAAATTTTGCCCGGGCAACGGCACTATGGCCCACACTTATATCGAATTCTAACTGCCAAGGGATTTTTTACCTGCACGCCAATGTTTTCGTTCCATCCGAACGACTAGACATCTGTCCTTATCAGGCCCTACGTCCTGCACCACTGACAAGGAGACACCATGTCGGAAAATCCCGATGCAGGGATTGAACACGCAACCTCCAGGCTAGCAAGCTAGCGTCTTACCCACTTACCCACCAAGCTCATATTTTCTTTAAAGAGGGAAAACTCTCATTGGCCTTCTTATGTCAAATCAAACATCCATAACTCAACAATATATGTTCAATATGATGGCACCGAACCCAGAGGGCAACCAAAGTCCGTTGAAAATTGGTTTGAGTAATTTGTAAACTTTACCAATAAAACGTTTCAATTCAACATACGTTACAATTTCAAAGTAGTGTCAGTAGTTGTGGAAAACGTACGAAAATCGTAAAAACCCGTTCGCTCAATCGATCGACAGTATACTGGAATAATGTTTTTGGAAATGTAGTAGCCTTCTAATGGCACTAATGATAAATGTAATTCTCAAATCACGGGGAGTAACTCTGGAAATCGTCCCCAGAAGCTATTCTAAATCAAACAACGTCCCAATAAATGCTTTAATATAAAGACTGACCATTTAGGGTGTTGACAAAATGTTGATGGGCGGACTGTCAACAATTAAGCTACTAAGTTAAACGCGTTCACTGTAACTGTTAGTAGGAAAATGTTCATCGAGAGAGAGAGAGCGAGATATAGAGAGATGGAGTTTAACGTCCATTCGACACAAACTAGGCCATTTCGGGACTAACATATGGTTCAATTTTATTTCGATAATTCACTTGCAGTGAGAGGACCCGGAGAAATTCCACGATGTTGTACAGGCAACCCTACGCCTTGCCACGTACAACCAGGGAATCGAAACCCGTCAACTGACTTTATGACAGACCTTATGATACAACGCGCACGCGCAAAATATTCGGCCATCCAAACCCCAATGTTCTTCAAGAAGGAGCAGACTATACGGAACGAAACAGTGTCATTGACCTCCGAGAATAGATGTCCAAGCGTAAGCATTTACGGCACGGGACATTTTGTCACTAAAATATGGTGCCAAATGAATTCAATAAGTGGATATATTTAGGGCGGTGGTGTTATGGTGCGGGTGGCCACCTCTTTTACGTTCCATAAAACATGCGGCCACCCTTCACTCCTTTCATAAACCAACGTAACGCCAGAGCATATTTCTAGCACTGAATGAGACTCCAGTATTTGATTCGATGACAGCCCTTATGATCCAACGCGCAGGCGTTAACCATTCGGCCATCCAACCCAGCTTCAACCATGCATGACTAGCAATTCCACAGCAAAAACAACATTCACACTCTGCATGTCAACAAAAAGACAGCGAGATTTGTATTGTCGTTTCATTGTAGTATTATATTATTATACACCCGACAAATTATATTGTTGTATAAGAATATTACATATTTGGATTTACATGGCTATAGAAGAACGGAAGCTGCGGTGGTTCAGTGAGTAAGGCGCTGGCTCGCTACCCAGGAGGTCCCGGGTTCGCTTCCGGTGTTGGCCCAGAATGTTAATCCGGGAATTTCGGACAACGTTTCCCACTCACAGTGGTGCAGGACCCATAACCTAGGTTCCGCGTACACACTGACAGTTGGAATTCGAAGTAATGAAATGAAATGGGGTTTAACGTCCTACTGTTCTCCTAAACTGGGCTAATGAAGACGGACATACGTAAACAGCGTGCTATGAGGGAAATTTTGCCAGGGCAGCGGCGCTACGGTAAACTACTCTTATATCGAGGAATACGAAGTAAGAGAAGGCCACAGTGTCGCTGTCCGTACAACTTTTCACTGTAGCACACTGTAAGGAGTATGCCCATCTTCATTAGCCTAGTCACTGCAAAAAAGTAGATCTTTAATCCCGATTTCATTTCATTTTACACTATAGAAGAAAGGCCCCGTCTCGAGGTTATAATGGTTTGTAAATCGTCGATAAGGTCGACAAAATAATGATCAGCTGTGGTAATTATATGGGATTTAAGGTTGACGGGGCTTTTTCATCTTAAATATATTTGTAGATTTCGAAACGGACGTGTTAATAGCCTTGCATACGGTAATAGAAAATCAAAAGGAAGGTCTGGTCCTGTTGAGAGAACTTGTAAATAAAGAGGGCGATGGACAGGTTTTAGACAAGACAATTTCTGATAAAACAGAGATACTTGTAGAAGACCATAAACAGAATACTCGTGAGTATATATGATACAAAAAATATAGGTTCTTGTTGCTCAAGTGTTGTCATTAGTGTAAATGTTACGCCCCCATCTTGGCGACTGTATGGACATTGCCTATATTATTATCGTTGTAATTCCAGGCCATGATGGTACATAAAGCACGTTTAGTTTTAATCGACTAAAGTACTATTGTATAATAATTTACACCACCTTTGTGTTTTTCTCTAAATCCGGAAAGTGTTTATTGATCTTGATTTTATGTTTCCATTTAAGCAATCATGATTTATAACAATGTACTTCAGTGACCATTTCAACCCCGTTGGACGTGCAAGGCCATGTAACCAAAGCATCAGATATTGCAGCAATTGTTTAACACTCAAAGGGGCCCAGATAGTTCATTCTTTAGAGAGGTGGTGACTGTCACTGATTCCTTGACTTTTTCAACTCGAACAATTTTTTTAATTGTTATAGCTTACTCCACATAATATATGGACTTTCTTAAGAAGAAAAAAAATCTTATCAAGAGGAGAAGTCGAAAATGTAAATGGTGTTTAAATAATATATTTAAAAAATATCAAATATACGCAAATGTGCTATAGCTGGCACTCGTTAATGAATAATGCAATTCGTACACTCAAAAGTACACGATATATTGTATTTGATATGAACAAATTTCATCTAAAAAAAACAGAGCTTGATTAGTTTTAATGTAGTCAATATAGTATAAATTACCTTATAAAACAAGGACCTGTTTCACGAAATTTAAACTAAGATAAAATCCTAATTTTAGTTATTTGATTGGATAATATTAGACTGATTTTAGTGCTTAGCCAATTAAAATTGAAGTATCTACTAAAATTTGGATTTTGACTTTAGTTAAGATTTCGAGAAACAGGGCCCGGGGTACTAATCGTTGGAGATCATTAAAGTTAATGGTTCAGTGACACCGTATAAATACCACAACAAAAATCAATTGATTTTTGGTGATATATAAGGGATTTTACAACCCATATCTGACAATACAAAATGTTGGGTACCAGACATCGTTTGTCAACTATTTGGGAAGAGTTTCTTAGTGACACCTCACTATACCACTGTAAGAATGCATGTGCCAAAGCCTCCTATCACACCAAAGCACATCCTAACGCGTTGTAAAACTGGAGAAGGTCTTATTGGATCGCGAAGGTCGCCATCATGTCTTGGTGAATCGGGAGCAAGTTTTGTTGACGAGTGTCCGTGACGGTCCAGATCGTGCGTGATTCGCGTTTGGGGCATGGGAAAGTCAGATATGTTTCGAGTATGAAGAGATGCGTGTTAATGTCGAGCTGATCGTGTTGGTGCCGTGTTCAGGTCGAGTTGGATCGTGAGAGAAGCAGGTCGACAAACTCGCTTCTATCCAGAAATCCACTAGTACACTTTGTAATTTATACCACGAGACCAGCAATCAATCTAAAAAGTAATCACTATTTGTACTATATGCACGAACCTCACAGACAAATGTGGATTTAAAATAGGATTCTGAGCTTTAAATCTGTGAGCAGATTAAGGTCTACTTTGTCGGGAAGGAATCTGGTTGGTCGAGAGAGGATCTGATCTACATCGAGTTGATCGTAAGCTTTTCTTGTTGCATTGCATAGGAATTGTGTTTGGTCGAGCTAAGGTCTTCTTGGATCGCGTTGGTCGTGTTGAGAGCGTGTTAGGGTCTTATTTGATCGCATCGACGACGCGTAGGTAACGATTCTATCGGTCCCGGAGACTTATTGAAGCAATTTCATCAAATTTGTACCGCGATTATACGTGACCTGCTAAAAACTATGAGTCTCCTTGGATCGCCTGAACTGCATTGTGCTTTTGTCTGGCAGGAGGCTTTAACGAGCACGGGTCTGTGAAAAGAACGCTGTGTTTTTATTTGCTTTGGTATAATGCTTAGAATCCCGGTGTACACGACATCTATTTTCTGTATGAAATATTTGGAATTTAAATTTCCACTGTCGAAATGAAGCAGTGTACATACAAAATGTGGCGGGCGAGTGGTAGTTTAATTTGAAATGTCTTTGAATCAATCATTTGTGATGAAATTATTTCCATTGTAGACAAACCTTGTGATGTTCATAATGGTGGTTGTTGGGCTAAAGGTGATAGTGCTAAACTTCTGATATCTAATATTTCTAATATTGGATGGATCTCCACTGAGAATGAGACGAAGACTAATAATTTTGAACTGTTTATTGAGAAGGACCATTCTATTTTCCTGGATTATGATATTCGTGACAATAAGTTGTATTGGACTAACGTGATGCGAGAACAGATCCTGAGGTACAGTACTCTTCAGAATACTATTGAGCTAAATGTATCGTTTTGATAAATTGTGCGTCTTTGCTACAGCTCCTGATTGCGTACCGCATGCGATCAGGGGATTGTGTACCCAGTGTGATCAGGGGAATATTACCACATGTGATCAGACACGCTTTTCCAAGAGCACCCAAAATATTGCGAAAAGTAACCCACAAGGAAAGATAATATATAATGTGCATATTTTACACATAATATGCTAAATTTTAAAATTTCATAAAAGAAAAATAACTAAATGTGAAATTTTGCTAATCACGGACAGGGCGGATGTTATTTTTGTTGTGTGTCCAATTCAGTGTTGAATATGCGTATCTAGTATCTGTCTTCGTCGATTACTTTATGTGATAGGGGGGTGGATGGTCGAATGGTAAGCACGTGCGTGCTGTATCATAAGGCCTGTCATTGAGTCAACTGGCGTGGTTTCGAATCCACGGTTGTACGTGACAAGGAGTAGGGTCGCCTGTCCAACCTCGTGGGGTTTTTCCGGGTTCTCCGGTTTCCTCCCACTGCTAAAGACCCCTACGCGCAAGCGAATTATTGAAATAAAATTAAACCATATGTTAGTCCCGAAATGACCTTGTTTGTGTCGAGTGGACGTTAAACCCAATTTTTTTTTTCTCTCTCTCTCTCTCTCTCTTTCTCTCTCTCTCTCTCTCTCTCTCTCTCACTTTATGCAATACATTTTGTCGGTGATTAGCAAGACCGTTTGTGGCAACATTTCATTTATCTATGATCTTGTCGGGCCTGTCGGTGATAAGTAGGACCACTAAAATGCATCTGTTGATTCACAAACCATGTTTTGTATTTGAACCTTTCTGAATCTACCGAGAAGGGCTGGGGTTTCTCAAAGTTGATTTACATATTAGATTTATTGTGTGCAGACCTAAAGTTTTTTGCGATTGTATTAAGATTCTAAATGCCGATAGCGTGTACATATTTTCCAGTGTTGATTTTAACGATACGAAGAACATAATGGTGATAGCTGAGAATATTGGTAGTATTGGTATTGCAGTTGATTGGATTCACAAACATTTGTATTGGACTGACAGCGATTTACAACAAATCGCAGTGTCCACGCTTGACGGCCAAATGAGAAGTGCATTAATTACCAAAGATGTAGAAAAACCAAGAGCGATAGTGGTTGAACCAAGCAGTGGGTAGGCATTTTATTTTAGATGGTTAAAAGAATTGTAGGCATATTATATGTTGGTGACTACCAACCGTATTTGCAGTTGGATATTGAGTCAGATAGATCGAAGCAGGGAGTGTTTTTATTTGTAAATTGGGGTGAATAGGGGTGAAAAGTTTTATCTCTCAAATAAAGCACTATTACTGAATACATGTAGTTAATTGATCTCTCTCTGAAGACTTAAAGACAATCCAACCCATAGTTTAAAAGAGTGGGTGGTTTCCACTAGAGGTAAACTGTTATTGAATGGGCTCGTGGGTAAAATAACATTATATTGTTTAGAAGTATCCGACGGTGTTCTATTTGTTACTACTGATTGCATATAGATTAGTTTTCCGGGATTATATTGTTGTATTGGGATATTTTAAAATATTTACTGGATTTACTGTATGATCGAATAAGTATTGTCAATGTTCAATATTTCACTAATAATTGATTCTCAGATAAACCTTACCTACAAACAATATTATAGGCGGCGGGAGTCAAGGTTAAATGACTTCTCAAAAACATCATATTTCAAGGGACTGCATTTACATGTACATCATCATGTTTATAGGAATGTACGATTATCCAGTATCATCTATATTTGTCATTAACATGTATCGGGAGCCTGTGGCACATTTCTGGATTAATTCAATTTTTTTTATAGAGATGCCTCCTGTAATCAAGATATAAAGAATTGCGTGGGGTAGTTAATGTGATCATTTTTTTTTTCGAAATAAGAACGGGTCTTGCGTCCCCTTTTAAGTGACCTGGCATTATCACAGAAGCAGAATATTTTTTGATATGGCTTGACAGTATTAAGAATTTACGGTAAATAAGTCAAAAATAAAAAGTAAATACGTTAACACAAATAAAGCGAAAGTGCATTTGATAACATATCCGTTGTTGTTACATGTTAAAAGGGTTAATCCTCTATGATTTGGGTCAAAATAAATCACTGCGAGAGATTTATCTTGTGTGCTATTTTGATTACTGATGGAGTAAGCTCCACATGATAAAGAGAAATCGGCTTTGTGACTTATTATGTGGACAATGGAACATAAAATCAGTTAATCGTTACAGTGGCTTTATCTATAGACTGATTGTCATCCCACTAAGCCAATCAATATATAATATACAATGAAATTGACAATCTTATTTTTGGCCCAATTCAAGAGGTCTAGTCATTTCAGCATAATACAAATTGAAGCATGGAAAAAGATATAAGCAATTATAAGCTTGGTTATATAATTGTGATCTTAGAATTATCAGTGATATAAGCATTATTCGGATTCGGATTTTTTCTTTTGTCTTCAGGTATATGTATTGGGCTGACTGGGGTGAAAATCCTAAAATAGAAAAATGTGGACTGGATGGAACCATGCGCGAAATCATCGTGCAGACCGATATTGTATGGCCAAATGCAATCACAGTGGGTGAGTACATCGAGTAAAGAGATCTTTCATGTTTATTTGAATCTTCAACAACTTCCTCAATCAGGACCAATATTTTCTTTTGAACGATCAGATGAACGGTCATAAAAGGAGTTTTATTCTGTACAAATATTTATTTTATTTGTCACGATCGGTTCCTATATTATATTTAGCAACAGGCCAGACTGATGTTTTTAGAAATAAGTACATGTTTGGAAAGTATATTGATTATACTCGACTTGGTTTCAACATTAACAGAAGGTCATATACAAATGGTGGACGTTCATTTCTAAACTACCAGTGTATAATGTACAGAAACCTTTTAGATGAAACAAGGGGATATTGGGGTCAGATTATAAATACTTATCTCGATTCAGGAGCCGTGGTGGCTCAGTGGGTACGACACTGTTGGCCGAGAAAGTTCCCGAGAAAAAGGAAATGACAAGGGACATGGTCTAGTCGTTCGGATGGGACGTAGAAATGACGTCCTGTGTACACATTTTCGTAAACTAATGCTTGCCAGTTCGAATTCAAAATAAGTGTAGATCGTAGTGCCGATATTGGCGTATGCCGGTAGTGATAGGCCCTGTCGGAACAGGACGTTGCACCCCATTTCATTTCATTCATAAGAACTTCATCAAACAATTATGCTAATTATGCAGAAAGGTTCATTCTTAGATTTCGAAAAATGACGTAAACAGTTAACGCATATACGCCTGTTATGAAATATTTGCGGAGATGGGTCAACCCCTGCTTAGGTTAACTAAAGAAATGAAGCATTGACATTCCTAACCTTAGTAAACCTTATGTACATAATTTTAATTCATAATAGAGAAGGTAGTTAACCTTACTGCATTTTTTAATTTTTTTTTTTTTTTAAATTTTTTTTATATATTTATTTGATCTCATTGTTGTTCTTGTTGTTCTTATATTGTTTTGTTATGTTTCAAGGGCAGAATTGTCAAAAGGCCTGGCCTAATTTCTTACCCTAATAAAGATATTATTATTATTATTATTATTATTATTAAGCGTGTGCAGGACTGTGAATGTTCAGTTCACCAAGTCTGGACTATGTCATTGCTCCAAAATTCACCGAATTTAAATGTAAATTATATTATTTGTCAGTTAGCTCCTCCGAATCAGTTTTCTGGAATTTTTATATCAGCCCAAAAATGATTTAAATTACTTTATCACAGTTTTGACAAGGTGTGACGTAGATTGTTTATTTTCGTAGCAACTTTACTACCATCCACCATTTTTAAATTAAATAATTAAACGACGACCGTGTTTCAGTCCGTTTAAATCTCCGTCACTCGATGGTGTTGATTATAGGTTTATCGTGTGAATAAATGACAAAATAATAGTTTATATAACATTTGAAGCCAAAATAATGATCCATTTTTTGTTTTACAGATTTTGTTGATGAACGTTTATATTGGGTTGACGCAAAATATGATTACATTGCTAGTGTGGATTTTGATGGTGGAAATCGCCGAACAGTCTATCAAGCACAGTCAAACTCTCATAACCGTATAATTATATTGCATATGCTATGTAAGGCTGGTCCCAGGGTTAGCATGTTTTCCAATTAGAATGCAGTTATCTTACAATATATGTTTTAGCCATAATACAATATTATACCTTGGGTTCTTTTGGGATATATAAAGACACATACACCAAGTCAATAAAGCAACAATCACCAGTGAATTAATCCATGCACGTAATCGAATGGTTAAACATACATTATGCAAGAGCTAAATCTGCCTATTGCAGGTCTTTCTTTAGGCTTGAAATGTTATCTAAATCATTAATTAGACATTAATTAACTTATCCAGACCATAGTCAACTGGCGATGCCAGCGCTAGCCTGCGATATTTAGCGCATTGGAAAACATTTTTGAAAAATAATTAAAGGTAAAAATCGATAATCGAGACTTTTTTTTTTATCGTATCTCGGTTCAGAGTGAAGCAATTTGACTGAAATTTTCAGCGTGTTCTATTTACGCTATCTGATTTTTAACTATTGTATCTAATCTCCCATAATTCCCCTTTAATTATTTTACTTTCTAGGATGCCATATATTGGACGGATTGGATCACTAATTCTGTTTTCAAAGTGGGTAAATACGAATCATCCGAACCAGTGGCTGTTTTTTCTAATTTACGTGAACCAATGGCTGTTCAGATCATCCATGAATCCAGACAACCTTTATGTAAGTTAACAATTCTTGATATTATGTTTGATTACGCCCACGACTGATTACTAGAAAAATCATTTTATTTCTAACATGTCAAAGGAAGCCTCTTGAAATCTGTAAGGGATGTGTACAGTGACTTGCGATATATGATGTGTATGCTTTATTACAGCTAAGAATAAGTGCGGGACCGATAATGGTGGCTGTTCTGATTTGTGCCTTCCTTCCCCAATAACCAACAACGGACGTCAATACAGTTGCGTGTGTCGAGACAATTTTACACTTTCTTATGATGAAATGTCGTGTGTAGCTTCAGGTTTGTGGATTCCATAATTTATTGTTCTATTTGATATTGTATAATTAGTTCGTTGGAATTGTCTTTGGGGATGTACAATGCCCTTCAAACTTGAATTGGCATGGCAATAAATGATTTCCAAAATGTAACCCACCATTGTTTCTCGGTGGGTCAGTGGGAAAGGCGCTGCCTCACAAACAAGGCAGTACGGGGTTCGATCCCGGTTATGGCCGAGAAAGCCCGCCGGATTTTCCATAGTGGTTTCCCCTGTGGGGTGAGGTGGGGTGGCAAGGAGAGTATCTAGTCGTTCGGGTGGGACGGAAGCCCATTTCCCATGTACAAGTTGGCATGCACGTAAAAGAACCCTTGAAAGTTTGAATTCGAAATAAGAATAGGCCGTAACACCGCTTGCCGGGTAAAATATGCCCGTCCTCATTAACCCAATCGGTGAAAAGCACTCAGGGCAAGAGGGTCACGTTGGCTTCGTATTGCGTTCAATGGGCAAAGGCACCATTAGGTACGCCGATTTTTTCCAGGGAGGCAGCTGTCCCTCTTGCCCCCCCCCCCCACACACACCCACGCTAGCTACGGCCTGTTAACTCTGAACAAAATTGTTCGAAATGATTAAAAATCATAGCTATCGTTTTCATATGCTCAAAAACTTATTACAAATTAAATATCCTTAGATTTTGTTGATTGTAGGCTGTAGCCATGGCTATATATTTGAAAGAACAGTTTATAATTTTTAAGCGATGTTTATTTGAACTTTTAGGATCTATTGTATCGTCCAGAAAACCTTCAACCATGACAAGCTCTACCACAGCAAGAACAACACCCACACTAACTATTGCTGCAAGCATGCAGACAAACAGTAAGATCTGTATTGCCATTGTAGTGTTATAACTGTAATGTCTTCTACAACTATCATTAATGCTTATTAACGTCCCGAATCATATACCTACCTGTATGCTTTTAGGATAGGGGAAACACGGTGGCTAAGTGGGTAAGACGCTGGCTCGCTAGTCTGGAGGTCGCGTTTTCACTTTTCGATCCTTGCAGTGGCCGAGAAAGTTCATCGGGATTTTCCGATGTGGTTTCTCCTTGTCAGTGTAGTGGTGCAGAAGTGAGGGCCAGACAAGGACAGCTGTTTAGTTGTTCGGATGTGACGAAAACCCGGGATCCCATGTACATTGCCGTGTACGTAAGAGATCCCTTGACAGTTGGTGTTATATATATAAGAGTAGGTCATAATTCCACTGCCCGGGCAAAAAATATCCCGCATAGCACAGTGGTATGGCGTTTGCCCGTCTTCATTAGCCGAGTAGGAACATAACAGTAGGACGTTAAACCCCATTTCATTTCATGTTGCTATTAGGAGAGCTTATGTCATAACAATAATATTGAATTTCATTAAACTCCGTGTATAATACGTTTTCATCTACTCTACTAATTTGAAGTTTCAATGAATATTTTACATTCACAAGTAGGGGGGACTGGCAAGGAATAGCATCTATAGTCGTTGGAGGTTTTCCCCTGTCAGTGGTGCTGGTGGGACGACGGGCTGGCAAGGACAGTAGCTAGTCGTTCGGATGGGACGAAAACCCAGGTCCCATGTACACATTGGCGTGCACGCAAAATAAAACCCTTGATAGTGGACGTCTAAATACGAGTAGGCTCTAGCGCCGCGGTCCGGGCAAAGTGCCCCATCTAGCATACTACATGGCTTACGCCCGGCTTCATTAACCCAGTTAGTTCAGAAAAAGGAGGACGTTACATTTCACACTGCTTCCTCTAGAAGTGACACTGACCCAAATAACGCCCTTATATAGCAAATGATATGTTTCACACATGAAATGTTTAATAATTATTTTATGAAATTAAAGATGAGATGGCAGTTTTCGAAAATGTTAAATCTGACAAGCAAATATATTTGTAGGTTTCGAAAAGGAAGTGTTACTAGACTTAAAGACAGTAAAAGAAAATCAAAAGGAAAGCCTGATCCTGTTGAGAGAACTTGTAAATAAAGAGGTCGATGGACAGGTTTTAGACAAGACAATTGCTGATAAAACAGACTTACTTGTAGAAAATAACGGTAAGTACTGGACCATATAAGTAATTCCCGGCCTAGTCCGCACTTGTTCGTATTCAAACGAGGTTCAGTATTTCAACACTGCGACATTGGTATTGTACAATTTTGGACTGACAAATGCATTTTGGACTGTGAACATTCAAATAATAATGACACCGCTATTCTTCCATAGGTTAGGGGTTGGGAGTGGTCGAATGGTTTAACGCGTGTGTGTTAGATCATAAGGTCTATCATTTATTCAAGTGGCGTGGTTTCGATTACCCGCTTGCACGGCCTTGTGGGTTTTTACCACAGCTAAAGACGCCTACGAAATAAAACTGAGCCGTATTTTCGTCCCGAAATAACCTAGTTTGTGTCGGATGGGCGTTAAACCCCATTTTCCTCTCACCCATTCTGGTTTCATCGCCATTGTTGGACGATTTTCTTTTTAATTGCAACCGAAATAGGCGGTGTACTCAGATTGATTCCACCAGTAGATTGACTAGGTAAATTGTAGTCTAAAGGAGGCGGATGTCGACTTTGCAACTCAAAGCAACTCAGCCAGTTGCAAGTGGGCTTATGTCGATCATATCAGCAACTGAGAACAACTGAATTCGGAGCGCACATGCCGACTCGGAACTGATAGAGATTGCACGTGACTGTTAATTTATTCATCACGTGGTCAGCAAAATGGCGAATAGCTTAGACGAAACACCCCAAAGGCATGATCGGTCTTGCCCCAATTCTATTAATATATTATTGTTGACATCATCAACATTTGAAAAGTGGGTGTCTTCGTTCGCTTCAATTGTGCTTATTTATAAAATCACATGACACGTCTCTTATTACGTGAGGTTATTTCCATGGAAACGAGTTGACGCCAGTTGTAAGAACGGTCATGTCGACTGCAACTAGTTTCCGCTATCTGCAGCGAGTTGTAGAAAGTTAAACATGTGCAACTGACTGCAATTAGTTGCTTTGAGTTGTAAGAGGTGCTCAGGTCGACATTTTTCAGTTGCATTCAGTTGCTTACAGTTGCTCCCAGTTGCCGAAACACTAGTTGCTTTCAGTTGCAAGGTCGACACCCCACCCCATTACAATATAAATATTGCTTTTAAAAACATTCGTTTCCACATTTATCGTGTTTTCACAATAAAGATAAATTGGTATTTTAGTATTGATTTTTCTTTACTCTTGAAGATAAAGCAATACGTATACGATGGGCACAATGAAATGTAATGGCCTAAAATGATTCCTAATTGAGAGCTCAAAAGTTTTATGTTCCCCGATCATAAATGACAAAAGAGACATTCAGATGTGAAAAATCTGTTAGAGTAGATGAAGCTGTGGACCTAATCCTAATGGTCGTGTTTTGGCGAGACGTTTTAAGCTAGCTAGTTGGTATATTATTGAATAGTGTGGGCGGTGACCTATTTATTTCTTAAAAATCATCCCGGATTACTGCTAAAAATATTATAGGAACTAATCGTGACATATTAAATGTTATTTTGTTAATCATGTTTTCTTCTGTAGGGAATGGTAATTAACACACCAAAGACAGGAACAGATTGTGAGGGTGGGGTGTATATCCTTAGAAACAAACAAAACAGCAACCGTAATGGTTATCCTTGGCATTAATTATCCTGTGTTCAAACAGATCACTGTAATAGTTCAGACGCGATGTGTGTGGGAGGCGGGGGCGAGACGGGATCCGTCTGCATACACACATAGCTATATAGTATATGGAGAATGGTTTATAAGAATTACTTTAATCTAAACCAAGCTTCATTCATTAATAAAATATTACAAACGACAAACACAAGAAATACAGAGTACCATACACATGATAGCAGAATATAGTACAGTACCAAGAGGAAAGTTTATAATGACCCCCAAGTTATTCTAATTAGTAACACAAAGATTAATGTTTATTAAATATTTGTAGCATCATCCAATGGGAGTTATTTGTCTCCTAGATTACAAAATTTGTAAGTGATTTCGAGGTTCAACTTTTGGTTATGTTTACAATAAAATTC